CCTTAAGTTGAGTAGGGAATGATAAAGGTATATAATATATTAAAATCTATCTACCACTAATGCAGAAAAGGTGCATAGTTCCTTATTTCTTGGAAAATAAAGAACTGTGTATTGGTCCCCGTTAGGTTTCATTCTGTTCTTTTTGATCAATTTGGAGTCAAAATGTTAACCTGCTGGGATCACATGTCCATTTAAAATAGAATTTTACATCTGTTCATAAGGTCTTGGCTATCTCAGCCAGCTTGGCAGCCATTTCTAAACCCGATCGACATTTATTCCACTTGTTCATCCTGAATTTTAATTTTAGGAGCTTCATTGCTTCTACAAAAGCGGGATTCCGCCAAGTCTTTTGAAAAAGGAACGATATAAAAATCTACGTGCATTTCCTTAATTGATAGTATTGTAGACTTCTTTTAGTTCCCTTGCTGAACGATCTCTTAATTTGGGAGAAAACATCTATTCTCACAAGAGAAATGTGAAACAAGGGGAGGAGAAGAACAGGCACCAACCATCTGCCAGAGTCCTGTCAGTTAACTGAGTCTCTTTGGTCCTCAGGTATTGAAGCTCTGCAGAAAAAATTAAAAGAATGATATTCTTTAAGTTTGGGGTTTTGTTTGCTTTGTCTGCAGCCTGGAAATCAATACTGCCCTGCTGAAACAGACTTGGTAAACCACTAAATTACAGAGACACATGATTCTTTAAAAAAAAAAAAAACAGGCCTTCAAAATTTTTAACCATATCAACCCTTCTCTAAGCATTGAAGGATCTGTGTACTGTGTACTGACAAGTAAGCTATTTTTCAGGAAAGTTATCGATGTAATTTCTGCCCTGGAAAAAAAAATCCAGTTTTCTCTTAAATGAAATCAAAGCTTTATGGGTTTAGAAAAGGTAGGATGGTGCTTGTTGAAAGATGTTTAGTTGCAGAGAAACTTGCAAGGAAACTACTAGAGATTTTCAAGAAGAAATTGGACATTGATTTGTCTGGAATAATAAATTACATATGTAATTTGATCCCAGAATCTCTGTTGCTAAGCAAGGAGGTTTTTAAGTGAATTGCACCCAATTTTACAACGTTTTTGCCACCATTATTAAATGAATCATTGCAGTTGTTAAGTGGATTATGCAGTCGTGAAGTGAATCTGCCTTTCCCTATTTGCTTGTCCCCTGGCTTTACTTGTTGGGACACAGTAGGAAAGGTTACAAATGGCGTTCACATGACCCTGGGATGCTGCAACGGTCATAAATACATGCTGGTTGCCCAAATTTTGACCACATGACTTTGGGGATGCTAGGACACTAACTGAGGCCTTTGAACTATGGTGCTGGAGAAGACCCCTGTGAGTCCCCTGGACTGCAAGGCGATCAAACCGGTCAGTCCTAGAGGAGATCGATCCTGACTGCTCTTTAGAAGGCCAGATCCTGAAGTTGAAACTCAAATACTTTGGCCACCTAATGAGAAGGAGAAGAGCCTAATGCTGGGAAAGATGGAGGGTAATAGAAGAAGGGGACGACAGAGAAGGAGATGGCTGGATGGAGTCACTGAAGCAGTAGGCATGAGCTTAAATGGACTCTAGAAGATGGTAGAGGACAGGAAGGCCTGGAGGAATGTTGTCCATGGGGTCGCGATGGGTCGGACACAACTTCACAACTAACAACAACAAGGACACTAATAAAGGAGGATATTTGTAGCTCAGGGTGGAAATGAGGGGTCCTTGGGGCTCTCTGAACTTGATTGTTTCTTGCAGATGTTTCATTATCCTAAGAAAGTAACATCATCAGTGCCTCCTAGTAAGGAGTGATGTTTGCTGTCAGTTTATATTCTGATGGCTTGCCCTGTCAGTGTTGGTGGGGCTGGTCTTAGAGATTCTTTGGTTGGGCTGTTTGCTATTGGCTTCTTTGGCAGTTTCTTGATTAGAACAGTGTCTATTTGATTGTTGATCTGAGTTAATCCATGCTGATCTGGGTGCTGATTGCTGGTGGAGAGGTGCTTGAGTCTTTGTGTTCCTTTTTGGACTGGGGGATAGTCTCATGCTAAGATAGTCCTATAAGTGTGAGCACTGGTGATAAGTCACTTTTTTCAGTGCCATTGTAACTTCAAACAGTCCCTAAACAAGTGGTTGCAAGTCGCGGACTGCATGTAAAGACAAATCTGTTCCTAGGCTGCCAATGCAACCCGCTTTTCAGTCCATTGAGTGAAGGGGGAGCATATATTTATCTGCCCAATGCTACAATATCAGCCCAATTACAATATCATAATTGTAATGGATTTTGCCTGCTCCCCCTGATCCAGCACAATAGGTAGGTTCCAGGTGCCATCCATCACCCAATGCCACCCTGTTGGGATCCAAGAAAAACACATTTTCCATCATAGCATCCATCTACTCTTTTGAAAGAGACTGAAGGCCAATCTCTTCCCATTAGGCATTAGGTCTGTTAAGAGAGGTTTTATAGAGTGATGGTCCACAGCTGCCAATTGCTTTGTTTTTGTGGATTTTATCGGACTTTAAATCTATCCGAAGTTGCTCAGTGTCATTTTTGAATCAGGTGGCCCCTATAAATAGGAGGAGTAACCAAATAACTTTCTTTTTTAAAAAAATAAATATTTTGTAGGTGTGCAGCATACCTGAAGCAGGAACTGTGGTGTGAATTTTCACACTAGATGTTTCTGAAAAGAAAGGGAACAGGTGGCCAGTCATATAAATGTATCATATGATTGTGCATATATAGCATAATTGTATCCCAGGAAGTTATTGCATATATAGAGAGCATATGTAGTATATTCTGATTACAACATATATCATATTACTTTCTGACATGCTCTATTTCCTGATCCATGACTTTAAAAGTCTAGCAGATAATCCCCTCTTCTGGACTCCTAAGGACTGGCAACTTGCAATGAAAAAAAAGCAGCTGAAACTTTTAGCTTAGCATTTAACTTTCCCAGATCTTTTGCTTGGGTAAGTAACTTTTAGAGTAAATAACTTTTAGGGTAAGTTGGTAAGAAAATTTTGGTGCCAATTCAAAAGTCCACCATATCCATCTCTATTTCTTAAAAGGTCTTGAATAGCCAATTCTATAAGGGATTCAGGGTCAGAAAAGCCAATCTGAAGCCATCATGATGCCAGCAAAGTGTTTCCATATAGAAAGGGACTTTTCCTTCTTCTCTTGTTCCCAGATGACCTCGATGGTCAGAAATTAATCCAATTGTTTGACTATTTGCCAGTTGTCCACTGTCTCCATTTTTGATTGCCCTAATGCTCATGTTCTTAAAACTCTAGAAATAGCCAAATGATAACACATTTGTGGGGAGAAGACTTCTGCTGATACTGATCCTAAAATTAATCTATCAATCCATCAAACTATCAATCTATCAGTCTATCAATCCATCAGTCCATCAATCCATCAACCTATTTATTAAGAAAATTTACATGGCTGCCCAACTCATTAATGGTCACTTACAAAAATATATGTTGTCCTCGACTTACAACTGAGCCCAAAACGTCTATTGCTAAGCCAGACATTTGTTAAGTGAATTCCCCCCCCCCATTTCACAACTTTTCTTGCCACCGTTGTTAAGTGAATCACCGCCATTGTTCAGTTAGTAACACGGTTGTTAAGTAAATCTGGCTTCCCCATTGACTTTGCTTGTCAGAAAGTCACAAAATGTGATCACATGACTTCAGGACACGGCAACCATTGTAAATATCAGTCAGTCGCCAAGGACCCGAATTTGTGAAAAATGGTCATACATCCCTTTTCAAGTGGTCATTAAGTGAACTGTTGTAAGTTGAGGACAACCTGTAAAACCCTAACATAAAAGCCAATAAATCCCCATCTCCCTGGTCAGAATAATCAGACCAAGCATGTGATGGGCTCTATATCACTCTGGGGCAGTGGTGGGATTCAGCCAGTTTGCACCAGTTCAGTAGAACCGGTAGCTAATTTTTTGTTGCCCAGGCCCAGAATGGACTTCCGGAAGTGGCATCCACACAGAGAACCGGTTGTTCACATATTTGAATCCCACCACTGAAAGAAGGCATAAGAGAGATAGCAAAAGAAGGGAGGGAGGGAGGGAGGGAGGGAGGGAGGGAGGAAGGAAGGAAGGAAGGAAGGAAGGAAGGAAGGAAGGAAGGAAGGAAGGAAGGAAGGAAGGAAGGAAGGAAGGAAGGAAGGAAGGAAGGAAGGAAAAGAGGAACGGAGGCAGTGGTGAGATTCAGCCAGTTCACACCACTTCAGCAGAACCGGTAGTTAATTTTTTGTTGCCCAGGCCCAGAATGGACTTCCAGAAGCAGCATCCACACAGAGAACCAGTTGTTCACATATTTGAATTCCACCACTGTCTGAATCCCACCACTGCTCTGGGATCCCCAGGTCCATTGGCAAAACCATGTCTTCAGGGCCTTTTGAAACAGTGTCAAAGTGGGAATCAATCTTATTTCTGCAGGGTGATGTTCCACGTAATAAATAAATAAAACAAATACATTATTTACACCAGAAGTTACCAACGTTAGCTATTTAAGGAATTGTCCATCAAGAGAGCAAAGAGAATTGTCATGATGCCACTGAAGGAAGAATTAGTATTCTTTGTGGTATGGAGGCCTATGCTGGGCATTAATCAGCCCATTTTTTTCACTACTTCAGAAACCAAAATTTATTGTAACCAAGCACCATTTACTATATAAACTCTCCAGAAAAGAGTGTCAAAATCTCCCCTTAGGTAAGGATTTCGTAACCTTGGCAAGTTTAAGACGTGTGGAGTTCAACTCCCAGAAGTCCATGGGTGGCTGGTGAATTCTGGGAGTTGAAGTCCACACGTCTTAAACTTGCCCAGATTGACAAACCCTGCCTTGGCAAACTCTTTCATGAGGTAAAATCAGGCGACATTAGTTTGTTTCAACCCATGGCACCTTCAGAAGAATAAGGTGAATTTACTGAGCAAGGAAATGAAGGCTCTGAATGGGAACGAAGAACTGAGAGATTTTTTTCCCCCATTTTCTCACCTGTCACCAAAGAGGAGCAGAGGGAAGCATCAAAATTATTCAAGGAAGAATTAATGGGCGAACGCAAGAAACATTCAATCGCTTCTTTGTCACAGTTGCAGAGCAAATGCTCACAAAAATCCTCAGATCCTAAGGGAGGGAAAAGAAAAACCAGCATGTAAAAAAAGAAAAAGACCCACAAAGTTGGATTGAGATATTTTTTGCTATAATCTGCTGACTCTCTGTAAGGTTTTGACCCAGAGAAATACATTTCATATCCTGGGCCCAGACATAGTTCATCACCACAGAAGGAAAGCAGGATTGAGTTCATTTCACAGCAAGAAGTCATTTGAACACAATAGAAAATTCATATTTTTGGAAAATGCTTTTTTTTCCCCCAAGACTTGAGTTGTTGGGAAGAATGTTCAGCAGCTCTATGAAAATACAATTTGCCACGTGGGTTAAATGACTAGGATAAGCATAACAGAATAACAGAGTCGGTAGGGACCTTGGAGGTCTTCTAGTCCAACCCTCTGCTCAGGCAGGAGATCCTATACCATTCCAGACAAATGGTTGTCCAATCTCTCCTTAAAAACCTACCGTGATGGAGCACCCACAGCTTCTAAAGCAGCGGTTCTCAACCTGTGGGTCGGGACCCCATTTGGGGTCGAACGACCATTTCACGGGGGTCGCCAAACAACACAGTCTGCCATTTTTTCCCCCTTTTCCTTAGCTGTGCTACTCCCTTTTATTCTATTGGCTTTTGAAAGCCAATAGAATAGACTCTCTTGAATAGAGTCTAATTCTATTGGCTTTCAAAAGCCAATAGGAATTGTCCAGGCTGTCTCTGCCCTGCTGAGCCCGCCAAAAGTCCCATTCTGCAAACGGTGCTGCACCAGTTGAGTAGTCCTCGACTTACGACCGGTTGAGTAGTCCTCGATTTACGACCGGTTGGGGGTCGTGGCATTAAAAAGGTTGAGAACCACTGCCGTATACCATTCCAGACAAATGGTTGTCCAATCTCTCCTTAAAAACCTACCGTGATGGAGCACCCACAGCTTCTAAAGCAAGCTGTTCCACTGTTTGATTGTTCTAACTGTCATGAAATTTCTCCTTAGTTCTACGTCGGTCTTCTTATTTCTAGGTTTGAATAAGCAACACTGTTTTGCAATAAAGTCAGAATCTGAGTAGAACATGGGGAATGTCAACGGTGAGAGGAAGAGAGACAATATGAGATGCTAAATATTGTATCCTGATTTTTATTTCACATGTGAAAGCTTGTAAAGTTAGGGATGGCCAAAACACCGTCATCTTTTCACAATGCATGGCTTTTGAACCAAACTCTTGACTTTAATTTTAAGAAATGGGATTTCCAATTTCTAAAGATTCCAAATGTTTTGTATCTGGGCAACATGATAAGGCTGAGATTGTGTCAAAGAAATACAGGACATGCAGAGGATGATACGTTGTGAGCATGCAACTGGGTTTTCTGCATTAACTCCTTCACTGGATTTTCTGCATGAGTTACTATACAGTATGTCTTCCCTGAAATAAATAAAAAAGACTTCTGAAGTCCTTCTTCATAGAAAAGTTGTCCACAGGGTATAGTCAAAACAAGTCAGAAGGCTAACCACAAGAGTGTGACTGAAGCGCTCAACACACATCAAAAACAGGCATGGCTTCGGTCACACCATCATGGGAGCCATCTTGATCCCTCTCCTTCAGAACAATAAGTATTTGAATTACAATCAAGTGTATCCTCAACAAGGCGTCAAAAAAACTCAAGAGGGCTGCCTCAACTGCACAATCTAACCTCAGCCCTTTTCAGTCTGCAGCCCAATGTACATTGAAAGGGGGTGGGGCTTCAGTTAGGCAGTGGCCATCTTGACTTCTTTGACACACACACACATGTAGATGCCCCTGATTGCCATATTCTTTTTGTGAAGCAATATTTTTGCTACAGGTAGTCCTGGATCTACGACGTTTGTTAAATGAATTGGGCCTAATTTTACAATCTTTTTCCCCCCATGGTTAAGAATAGAATAGAATAGAATAGAATAGAATAGAATAGAATAGAATAGAATAGAATAGAATTGGAAGGAACCATGGAGGTCTTCTAGTCCAGCCCCCTGCTCAAGCAGGAGAACCTATACCATCTCAGACAGGTGAATGTCCAGTCTCTTCTTAAAAACCTCCACTGATGGAGCGCCCACGATTTCTGAAGGCAAGCTGTTCCACTGGTTAATTATCCTCACTGTCGGGAAGTTTCTCCTTAATTCCAGGTTGCTTCTGTCTTTCATCAGTTTCCAACCATTGTTTCTAGTCCTTCCCTCTGATGCTCTGGTGAACAACCTGGCCCCCTCTGCCTTGTGGCAGCCCCTCAGACACTGGAACACTGCTATCAAGTCTCCCTTATTTCTTAAGTGAATCATTGTCAAGAATAAAACTTTGGCAGCATCCCACCGAAAGGGTTTTGCTTGTTTGCATGGTCCAGTTTGTGATATGCTATGGCCCGGTGCCGGTCTGTGCACTGGGGGTTTGGGACCCCTGTTCTAATCCAACCCCCTGCTCAAGCAGGAAACTCTATACCATTGCAGACAAGTGGTTGTCCAATCTCTTCTTAAAAGCCTCCAGTGATGGGGCATTCACAACTTAACCAGTGAAGGCACTGGTTAATTATTCTCACTTTTAGGAAATTTCTCCTAAGTTCTAGGTTGGTTTCTGTTTCACTAACACAAGAACATAGCAGAATAAAAATTGGATGCAGGACTCTTGCTACTTTAGCCTCACCACACGTGATGTTTTTGGTTAGACAACTGATGTTCATGATGACTTTAGCAGGATCCCAGGTGCATTCTTCTTCGGTTGCCTCTTCATAACATTTTCGATGTTGAAAACAGCAGCTGATTCCAGGAAAGAAGAAGAAATCAAAGGATAATTAGGAGAGACTGTTAGTGAACATATTGACAGCTTCAGGGCTCGGTCTCAGCTGACTAAATTGCTTTAAGCGGATTCACATTAAAGTTTTTCTGAACAACCAGAAAACTAAAAAGTGAGAAGACTTCTCAAGAGTTGGACTGGTCTGCTTTCAATCTTGCCGGCCTTCAAGAAAGCCATTAAAACTTTCCTGTTCCGGCAGGCCTGGGGTTGATGTCCCCAGGGGGGCCGGGACACGATTGGGACATGTTGTATGAATGCACTCATTTTTATTGTTATATTTATTGTTTTAATTTTGTATGCCGCCCTGAGTCCCTAGGGATTGGGCGGCATATACATTTTATTAATAAAATAAATTTTATTATTAATAAAATCTCACCATTGATCGCTTCAAGGATTAGCATTTGTTTTTCAAACTTAGCTTCTCCCTTGGAATACATAAGATATGAACTATATGTCGGCTTTCTTTGTTAAAACTGAGTCAAAATGGCGGCTGTGACCATGTTAACCAAGCTGTGCCCCTTTTGATGGGTGGCATGGTTGCCATCTTGACATTTTGGGATAACCCCTCCATCATGGATACCCCTGAGGTCAAGAGAGCTACAATACTGATGTGGGAAATTTTGGATAGGTAAAAGCCATTTTTCAATATCACAGAAGATGCTCAATTTATACAGAGCGATAACAACTCACTTCATTATGAATTTTTAAGAGATACAGATAATTACAGCCCCAGTTGGCATCAGAAATTCCACTGCTAAGCAAGGCAGTTGAGTGAATCACGCCTGACCTATGACCTTTTTGCCATGGCTATTAAGCAAATCACTGCCATTATTAAGTGACTCACATGGTTGTTAAGCAAATCTGGCTTCCCTCGTTGACTTTGCTAGTCGGAAGCCAGCTGGGAAGGTCACAAACTGAGACCTGAGGAGAATTGAAGAAGCTTCTTGAATGAGAAGTGAAATGTCTTCAAGAAGAAGAAAACTCAAGGAAGTCCAGTTGCCTTTTTTGAAAGCACCTTTGGGACATGGAAGCAGAAAAATATCAAAAAAGTTTAGCTCGCTGCTGCCATCTTAGGGCCATCTCAAGATTTGAACCTTAGATTTGTAGCATTCGGGCCTGAAACGGGTCTTCAAACTTGGCCCTTTTATGACTTGTGGACTTCAACTCCCAGAATTCCTCAGCCAGCATGCCTGGCTGAGGAATTCTGGGAGTTGAAGTCCACAAGTCATAAAAGGGCCAGGTTTGAAAACCCCTGGCCTAAAACAATGCCAAGTTGGGCATGGTTGCAATGTTCCTCTCAGATCCTGCCAGCCATGTCATAGGAGACATTTAAATAGGAACACAGGCTCCTTTTGTGATTCCAAGCAATTTCTAGACTGGAACCTCTGTCCACAAGAGAGCGAGGTGGGGTGATATCCCAAGGTGCTTTTTTTTAAATGCAATCGGACTTTCTTATTTTTGTCCTTTGAAAACCAAGGTCATTAGCTCTCAGAAAGTCGTTGAGGCTGTGTTGTAAACAGGAGATGGGCGGTGTGGTATCCCTCCCCCTCAGCTGAGAGAAAGGTGTTCAATTTTAACACAGATGGCCTCTTCACTGTTCTTTCAAATTCTTTTGAAGACAGCACATTCTGGACAGGGAGGACCACTGGTTTGAAAGAGGAGTCAAAAAGACCATCTATGTTAAAATTGAACCGCTCTCTCTCTTTCAACAGAGCAGGAGGGATATGACACCACCTATCTCCTGTTTACAACACAATCCTTTCAACAGTCTCAAAAAAGTCCCTTATCCACCTGCACTCTGATTTGGGTGACTCTGAGGGTACAGTTAAGGAATAGAATTAGAATAGAATAGAAGTGAAAGGGACCTTGGAGGTCTTCTAGTCCAGCCCCTTGCTCAAGCAGGACAACCTATACCAGTGATAGCGAGCCTTTTAGAGACCGAATGCCCAAAAATTGGCCCCCACCCCTGCTCCAGCTCCACCCCATCTGCCCACAGGGCCATTCACCACTTCCAGGGCCCACCACAGGTCGCCCAGGCAGCCCAGCAGTGACATGGCGGCCACGCTCTCTGTCCGTGCCCCACAGCATCAACTGTGCATGATGGGGCGTGAGGACAAAGTCTTGTCTACGTTTGCCTGGTTGCCATGTCTTTGGCTTTGTGGCTCTCCTCCAGGGGGGCTGCTAGTGAGGAGGGGGTCATGGGGGGAGGCAAGGCTGGGGCAATGGCACGTGTGCCACAGAGAGGGCTCCGAATGCTACCTCTGGCACACGTACCATAGGTTCACCACCACTGACCTATACCATTTCAGATAAGTGACTGTCCAGTCTCTTCTTAAAAACCTCCAGAGATGGAGCGCCCACGATTTCTGAAGACAAGCTGTTCCACTGGTTAATTGTCCTCACTGTTAGGAAGTTTCTCCTTAAGGAGCCTCAAAAACTCTTGGAGAGCTAATGACAGTAAGGTGACCAACTTTTTTACAATGAAAAGGAGGACACAAATAAATTGAAGAAAAAAAATTGTAAATAAAAAAAACATTTTATTCATTGCAACAATAATACAGACAACTTGCATGTGCAAAGTTTGCCAGCCAGGTGTTTTGGCGCGCTCAGCAACAATTCCTATTGGCTTTCGAAAGCCAATAGTGGGAGTAGCACAGCTCACGCAAAAGTTGAAAAAAAACCCATCAAAAAAAGTGCTGGAACGCCGTTCTGAGCGTTTTGTGAGGGGAAAAAAAAGCCCTGCAGATCAGTCTTCAAACATCGAAAAGGAGGACATGACGGAGGACACTTTTTGAGGGAGGACAGAACTTACAAAAGGAGGACTGTCCTCCCTAAAGGAGGACAGTTGGTCACCTTAATGATAGACCTTCAGTGCTAACAACCAGATGACTGCAAAGTCTATACATCCTTCCATTCCCAACCAGTTAGTTTAGGCATGTCAAACACATGACCCACGGGCCAGATGTGGGCCATGCAGGCCACACCTACCCCAGCCCCACAAAGGCAAAAAAAAGTCCCGATATGTCACGATACGGCCCATGATGTGATCGGGTTTGACTTCCATGGGTTAGTTAGAATTGAAGAGGCTTCTTGGATGAGAAGCAAAATATTTTCAAAGAAAACACCGAGAAAATCCAGTTACCTTTTGGAAAAAGCACCTTGTGTCCACCATGACCTGGATGATTGAGAATCTCTACAGAGATGATGCATGGGATGATACCTCTCTCTAAGAAGAATTCTACATCTCTAAAGTCCAACACTTACCCATCTACTTCATCCACAGGGAAGCCCTCCATCTCAAATCGGCAGGCACAGCCATAGTCTTCAAAGTCTTTGGGGCAAATGCCAGTCACACACTTCATTCTGCTCACCAAGTTGAGCAACGGAGGAAAGCTGGTGAATATGGACTGAAGCCAAGTGAAGTGAGAGCCCAGACAGTCTGCAAAGATGGGAAGAAGCTAAAGATAAATCCGACATCAAAGCAAAGTTAAGGTTCGGCTCACCCTTCACTGAAAAACAAAAATACCTTGGGACTATCTATGGAGGGCAACTCTTCCCACTCTTTTTGATTTCCAAGCAACCAAAGTCTTGCAAAGCAAGGAGGACTTGGAAGGTGAAAGTAGGCAATGCAACTTAGGCAAACCTTAGGCCTGATTGTGAATATCTTTGGACAACATAATGCCTAGCTAGAAAGACCCTGCTTAGTCACCCATGCCCTAGTCACCACCTATCTTGACTACTGCAATACACTCTACATGGGGCTGCCCTTGAAAAGTATCCAAAAGCTGCCTCCAGTATCCAAAAGCTGCCTCGAGAAGCGGCAAGTGCTCCAACACTGGAAATTTTTAAGAAGAGACTGGACAGTCATTTTTCCAAAATGGTATAGGGTTTCCTGCCTGAGCAGGGGGTTGGACTGGATGACCTCCAAGGTCCCTTCCAACTTTACTATTATTATTAATTGGGTATGTCTTCTTGTTGTTGTTGTTAATTGCGAAGTCGTGTCCGACCCATCGCGACCCCATGGACAACGTTCCTCCAGGTCTTCCTGTCTTCTACCACCTTCTGGAGTCCATTTAAATTCACACCTACTGCTTCAGTGACTCCTGGGTATGTCTAGTCTAGTCTAATGAAGACCAGGGGTGACATGATAGCAGTGTTCCAATATCTCAGGGGCCGCCACAAAAAAGGACTCAAGCTATTCTCCAAAGCCCCTGAAGGCAGGACAAGAAGCAATGGATGGAAACTAATCAAGGAGAGAAGCAACCTAGAATTAAGGAGAAATTTCCTGACTGTTAGAACAATTAATCAGTGGAATAGTTTGGCTCCAGAAGTTGTGGGTGCTTCATCACTGGAGGTTTTTAAGAAGAGACTGGACAACCATTTATCTGAAATGGTCTAGAGTCTCCTGCCTGAGCAGAGGTTGGACTAGATGACCTCCAAGGTCCCTTCTAACTCTTTCTATTCTATTTTCTCTATTCTCACACAGGAGTTGCTTCAGGGAGTTCAGAATGTGGTATCCTGCATGGTTTTGTGCAAGTCTATATTTGCACACGTCACCTCCCTTGAGGAGACCGCATTGGCTACTGATTTGCTTCCAGGTCCAATTCAAAGTTCTGATTGGTACCTTTAAAGTCTTACATGGTTAGGGGGTCAGGTTATTTGAAAGATCGTCTTTTCACAGTTGCATCTACCTGACCCATGGGGGAGAGAGGGCAGGGAATGTTACTGATCCCGTTTCTTAAAGAAGTCCAACTGGTGGCATCAAGGAGAAGGACTTTCTCCATAGTGGCTCCCACCTTGTGGAACATCATCCCTGTGGAAATAAGTTTGGCCCACTTCATCATTCTTTCAAAAGGCCTTGAAGACATGGTTTTGCCAGTGGGCCTAAGGATCCGAGGGTGGTATGGAGACCATTAAGTGGTTGGTTTGATTGTTGTCACCAGGAAGCAGATGTGATTGGATTTTGTATTGGGCTTCTATTTCTGTAAGCTGCCTTGACTTACTGTGTCTTGGGTGGCCATATAAATTTTCTTAGTAAATAAATAAAGAATAATGAAAGAATAAAACTAAATAAACAAATGTAGGGCTCTGCTGTTTCCTTTGCCTTTGTCTCCTTGGTTTATTTTAGCAAAAAATCTAGGAAACTGTACCATGAAATTCAAGGTGCTGGGAGGAACAGGATATTTCCAACATATACTTTAGTAACACCCTAAACCATGATTAAAGCAACAAAAACAATTAAATTTATCACTAATGAAATATATTTCTCCTCAGGAGATGCATCTTCCTTTAAGCTGGTTAAGTGTTTTGGGCGAGCACTGAGATTTGCAGAAGACCATTGCTGAAAAATGATGTGGATTTTGTACAGACAGATGAACGGGTCAATCTATCTTCTGTGCATGCTTAGCCATGTGCTTTATCATTGTTACTTTTGTATTTCAAAGCAAAGAACAGAACAGTCCTGACAAATAGTGCTTTGTCACACCTGTACATTCATGATATGCAGCCGATTAGCTCTTCCTGGGTTTCTGATCTGCATTAGTGGAACAGCTTACCCCCAGAAATCGTGGGCGCTCCATCGCTGGAAGTTTTTAAAAAGAGACTGGACAATCACCTGTCTGAGATGGTATAGGTCCTCCTGCTTGAGCAGAGGGCTGGACTAGAAGACCTCCAAGGTCCCTTCCATCTCTATTCTATTCTATTCTATTCTATTCTATTCTATTCTATTCTATTCTATTCTATTCTATTCCATTCCATTCCATTCCATTCTTCTATTCTATTCCAATCCATTCCATTCTATTCTATTCCATTCCATTCTTCTATTCCATTCTATTCTATTCCATTCCATTCTTCTATTCTATTCCAATCCATTCCATATTCTATTCTATTCTATTCTATTCTATTCTATTCTATTCTATTCTATTCCATTCCATTCCATTCCATTCTATTCTATTCTATTCTATTCTATTCTATTCTATTCCATTCCATTCCATTCCATTCTGATGCATCCATATTTCTTAACCATTCATGGAAAAAGTTAGCACAAATAATCAGTGGAACAACTTGCCTCCAGAAGTTGTGGGCGCTCTAACAATGGAAGTTTTTAAGGAGAGAAAATGCTTGAAATGACATAGGGTTTCCTGCTTGAGCAGGGGTTGGACTAGAAGGCCTCCAAGGTCCCTTCCAAATCTGTTATTCTGTTAAATACAGATATAGACAAGCGGACTCTTAATCCAATGGAAACCGACAAGCAAATAAAAGGTCACTTACCAAAGAACAAAGCAACACCTTCCACGTTTTCAAAGACTCCATTGAAGAAGGTGATATTATCTGAGGGGAAACACAAACTATTAAAACATAAATAGTTTCAAAATATAAAGATACAGCCTTGATTTCAGAAGATAAAACGGGTCGGTCTTGGTTATTATTAGGATGGGCGACCATGTGAAGTTCCCCAAATTGTAAACTGGCCTGGGAATTTGAAAAAGCATCCTAGCAGAAGACAGTGGAACAGCAATTCTCTACTGCTCTGAAGAGTTGAGCTGAACTGAAGGAAATCTTTACACCATCATGAACGCTTTTCAGATCTTAAGAAAAATGAATGTATGGGACATGGAACCTAAAGTGAGACTCAAATGGGCTCCAATTTCCATTAGTTTTAGGAATTCTGAGCCTCATAATGTCCAATCGAGAGCTATCTTGCAATTATCTCAACATGAAAAATCAGAGATTTTCAGATTCTGCATTCTCGTAATGCAATGTTTCTCAGCCTGACAACTTTGCTGACTGAGGAATTCTGGGAGCTGAAATCCACACAGCTTAAAGTTGCCAAGTTTGAGGAACAGTGTCCTGCTGAAGAGAATATTCATAGCTTGGGGTAAAACTGTGGGGATCTTGTTTTCTTGCAGAGGTTTCATTAATCAACTAGATAACTTCATCAGTGCCCTGAAGATGTTACCTAGTTGGGTAATGAAATGTCTGCAAGAAAACAACCCAGCTCAGGGAGCAGCAAGGAGTCCACTGTCCTGATAAATGGAGAGCATTACAAAATCACAGCAATTATATCAAATATTATAGCAGACATGTCAAACACAAGGCCCGGGGGCCGGATGCGGCCCGTGAAGTGGTTTCATGCGGCCCGTGAAGCCATCCTGGAAAGAGTGAGGGAACGGCCTCCGCTGCCTTGGCCCTGGCCCAGGCCGGCCGGGAGCCATTGTATAATTTTGTGGTGACCATCTATACTGAAACGCATTCAGTCTTAGCTCCACAAGGCCATCTAGAAACAGCAAGGAACCAGCCCCTGCCGCGTCAGCCCCGTCCCCTGGGTGCATGCTGGGGAGGTGTCACCCTTTGTGAGGAATGAAGAAATGAACCATGCCTTGGCGCTTGCCCCGGTCCCACCCCCTTCTGCCAGAGACCTTCAGATCTGTCCCACACCTGCCCAGGCCCCCACAGGCACCCTTGATGCGAATGATGTAGAACTGGCCATGTCCACCCAGTAGGCCACACCCACTCCATCCACGCCCACCCAGTAGGCCGCACCCACTCTGGCCACACCCACCCGGCCCCCCAAGGGCAACCGCAATGCTGATGCGGCCATCAATGAAATTGAGTTTGACATCCTTGTCTTATAGCAACAGGAGGCAAATTTCAAATTTTGCAAGATAAAAATCCAAGATCCATCATCTGTCTCTTAATCTCTTGGTCCCAAACACAAACTGTTTATTTTTTATTTTTTAAAAAATGAGTATGTTTGTAGAAGCAAAACAGAATGGAGTTTACAATATGTCCATAAAAACTTACAGAAATATATATTTGGTGTCTACATTTTTGCTAATTTTATTTTGCTAGTGTAATTTAGGGCAGGAAACTGCTTTGTTACTGGTGTTGCTCATATTTTTGGCCTGTTACCCAATTTAGCAATAGTAAATGCAAGAACTGTGGGGAAATTCCTTTATTCCGTGAACCAGTTTGGCAAAATTGTAAAGTGCAAAAAGTGATTTAATATAAAGAGAGAAGTCAAACATATGGCAGCTTCTCCTCCCTCTAATGTGAATTGGTATCATTCTGCAGAATCTCATATTTCTGCTGCTAAGAAGTCCTTTTAATTGCTTTTTTCCCCCTTCCTTTTTGGTGAAAGCCAACATTAATGCACTTTAAGACTGCTTCAACAAATCCTGCCTCTGATTTGTTGAAGGGAGTAATTCAATCCTTTTGCTGCCTTCAAGGGAAGATTATAATTTAATGTTTTCATTATCTATTAATGCCACAAACCTCTCAGAAGCAAGAGGTCAGGCTTTGAATATATAGAAGGACTCTGAAATTTCCTTCTTGTTATTTACAATTCAGAACATCTCAATAAAGAACCAACATGAGGATAGAGTTATTCATTTAAGTGTTTTTATTATTATTTATCAAATGTCTAGGTTGCCCAACTCCAGACCAACTCTGGATGGCTTTGCAATTAAAAAAAGAGCAGTAACATTGTATTTTTAAAAAGAGCAGTCAGTCAGAGGGAGCAGATCCCAAAAACATGCTCACCATTTTATGATTTAAAGAGGCCCAACCGAACACTAATTCAAAGCCCAAGGGAGAGCTAGGTTTTATATAAAGGCAGTAGGTTGAGGGTTGTATGAATCTCTGGGGAGATTCCAAAATATGGACAGCATCGAAACTGCCTAACTTCTAGCTGAAAATCTCTAGTCTACATTGTTCAGCTATTCCTGAAGATAACTGGGATGATCTTGGAGAAGAACTGCAGAGACTATAAGCGAACCGTGAATTCATTCTGGAGAGACAAGAAAAAGGAACTTAACAATTGTCCAATCATGACTCTTTGGTATAAACTTTGGTATAAAAGATTGATGTCAACCTTTTGAGGCAGGCCAGGCCAGGAAACAGGGTCCACAAAAAATACCAGAAGGCTACTGTTGTGTCCTGAGCCTGCTGAAGCATTCAGCAGGCTCAGAAATGTTGCAAACGGTCCCGGGCAGACCAAAAGCTGCCTGGGACCAGACTGGCTGTCGCCAGCCTTGCGCACGTGCGCAAGGCGCGAAAACAGCCAGATTTCTATTGGCTGACACTGTCCGGGTTTTGGACACTATAAAAGGCCTGTGTGCCTTTTTGTTGTTGCTGGTTGTAAGAAGAGAACAATAAAAGAAGCTTGTTTGTTACACCATGTGTTGCCTCTTAATGTCTCTAACCTGCAAACACAACAGCTACTATATTGACAGGATCTTGAAAGCCTATCAGCCATTCCCCTTCCTTCCTCTTATACCAGGGGTCTTCAAACCTGGCCCTTTTATGACTTGTGGACTTCAGTTCCCAGAATTCCTCAGCCAGCATGCCTGGCTGAGGAATTCTGGGAGTTGAAGTCCACAAGTCATAAAAGGGCCAAGTTTGAAGACCCCTGTCTTATATCAACGCAAGTCATGATAATACTGTGTTGAGTTACTTTCTCACACATTCCTGTTTTTCCAAGCTAAGTTCACATTAGAAATTGTAGAAAACATTCATAGCTCGGATTATAGATTTAGACAGAGGTAGGTTCTCCAAGTTTGCTGATGGGCTCCCAGATGTCTCATTACCAAACTAGGTAACATCATCAACAGGGGCTTTGGGGGTAAGTGTCTCGTTCATTTATATAGGTCCTAGGTGATTGGTTGGTCTTATGACTGGTTGAGTCACAGGACTAAATTATAAGACTGAATCACAAGGCTGGTTGATTCAGAAGAGGTCTTGTGACTTCTGACTGGTTGACCCATAATGAATCAATAAGGAAGCAGGCCATCTTTACCACCAGCCAACGACAGGTCTGACCACACCCCCCCACCAGGTGAATTTCGCACCTCATAGCAACCAGCCAGAAGGTTGCTGTGAGGAAAAAAAAATGGAAGATGTTACCTAGTTTGGCAACAAAATGTCTGGGAGCCAAACAGAGGACACATCTCTGCCCAAGTTCATGTTTTGCTAACGGTTTTGACAGATTGTCTCCGTGGTTTTCTCTACATCTGTCTGTAATCTAACCCAGGGGTAGGCAACCTTGGCTCTTTTATGACTCATGGACTTCAACTCCCAGAATTCCTGAGCCAGCATGGCTCAGCTTGGAAACCTCTCCCTTTCCCCTCAGCATGGCTGGCTCAGGAATTCTGGGAATTGAAGTCCACGAGTCATAAAAGAGCCAAGGTTGCCTACCCCTGATCTAGCCCTTTCCAGTTATTTGGGAATTAGCTAGGAATTTAGGGGGAAAGTTGGAGAGTTGAGTTGCCAGGACTTTGTAACTCCTTGTTTGCTGAAAAAATTGATTGTCTTACTTAGATTTCTTTCTGCGCCATGTGGGAGATCCAGGGAGATGCCTGTAGCTCCTGTCTCTGATCCTTGAGTACCTGCATCAGCCATTCCATCCAAACATACACACATACACACACACACACACAGAGAGAGAGAGAGAGAGAGAGAGAGAGAGAGAGAGAGAGAGAGAGAGAGAGAGAGAGAGAGAGACAGACAGAGAGACAGAGAGAGAGAGACAGAGACAGAGAGAGACAGAGAGAGACAGACAGAAAGACAGACACAACGCACATTCAAATGGGAAATCAAATTAGCTCTTGAGGATAGGTTAGCATTCCTAAACCATTCCACACTTTACAAAAGATAAACGTAAATTGACCCCTTCCTTTCTCACAAGAACGATAGATAAAGAATTGCAAAACAAGTTATGGAATCTTGCTTTTATACATGATAACCGCAGCAGGATTATTGTATGTGCAAAAATGGGAAGATTCAACATTATCCACAATGCAGGAATGGTTGGTGAGGATGATGGAGCTTTCAGAGAAGGCTAAATTGGTCTTCTTTGATCAAAGACAAAATCTATATTTATAATGACTTGAAAACTCTTATAGACTTTTTTCATAAAGCAGAAAAAAACGAATCTATGGTTTTGATGATTAGACAGGAGAAAGAAGAGAGTCATGTTGTAACCACAGAGGAAGAGGCAACTTATAATTGTACTTATAACTGCTGTAAAGATCAGAAGATTTGTATGTTTTTCCTTTCTCTTCCATTTTTCTTTTCTTTTTTTTTCAGAAGATTTGTACGTTTTTCCTTTCTCTTCCATTTCACTTTTACTTTTTTTCCCTTCTCTTGCATTTCGTTTTGATCTCTTTTTCTTAGTTTATATTAGTTTGTAGTTCATTTTTATCTTTATTTTTAACACCTTTAATAAAACTGTATACACACAAACTTTAATTAAAGATGTTGTTGTTGGTGGTGGTGGTGTGTGTGTGTGTGTGAGTGTGTGTGTGTTGATGAAAAGCATCCATGAAAGAGACCTAAAACAAGATGGACCCACAATACTTGCTGTTGTCCTTGATCCATCTTGTTTTAGGTCTCTTTTGTGGACATTTTTCATCAATAGATTTATATATATGTATACAAATACACACCTATATACATTTTTTTTTAAAATTTGGATTGCTAGATTGAGCTGATACAGGCAAAAGATTTCTTTCTTCCATATTTGGGCCCACAGGGTGCATCAAAAAATACTCAAGGTAACATCTATATACATACATATATATATATACACGTGGGGGGGAGATGCATGGTTAAAAAGTTTGATATATAAATAAATAAAAATAATTATATGAATATCCTTTCTAAGGAGCCAGGATAAGACCTCAGTTTCTAATCCTATATCTACTAATTTAGAAGTTTCCTAAAACCATCAGTCCTTTTTGCTTAAAATTAGTATTATTAGTTAACACGATTAGTATTATCACTAGTTATACTGATTAATATAATTCAGGACACTTCAAACTTGTCCCTTTTATGACTTGTGGACTTCAACTCCCAGAATTCCTCAGCCAGGTACGCTGGCTGAGGAATTCTGGGAGTTGAAGTCCACGAGCCATAAAAGGGCCAAGTTTAAAGACCCCTGTTATAATTGAAGGATTATTCCTATCTAACTTGTGAATTAAGGCAGACAGTGATGACCACAAGCATGTCATTATATTTAACATGAAGCAACTATTATGTATTTTACTCTTAACCTGATCATGTCGATATTACAATAGTCATACTGAATAAAAGCAGCTTGTTGAACCATGGATCCCTATGTATCTGCAGCATTTTATTCTAGAAATCTGCTAGGATTATTATTATGTAACAATTATTATTTAAATGTATATGCTACCTAACTCCCAATTATCAATAATGATCAACCTTATTATCAAATTAAATCAATGGGATTTATTGTGTGGATCGACTTTTGCTATGTTTTACACAATAATATTAATAACAATAACGACTATTCTGCCCACAGAAGTACATCCCAAGGAGTTATTTGAGCAAACTGCCTATACAAAATAATATAAAGAGGAAGGAAACAAAACCATGACATGATTTTTCACTTACCACCATTATGTAAAATCAGCAATATAGTCATCAATAGAATTATCAGCATTATTTTTCAGGAAGCTTGCCTGGTGAATTAAATAAAATGTTTATATAAATGTCCTTTAAGACAATAAAGTATGGTTCGCCCATGGTGTAGCATTAAATTACTTGTGCTTCCAGAATTTTTTATATATATATACATATATATAAAATCACATGGTAATTACCAAAGCAGATGCCTATGCAGGTTCTCAATCATCCAGGTCATGGTTGTCCCAAAAGTGCTTTTCTAGAAGGCAGTTGGACTTTCTGTTTGTTTGTTTGTTTTTTCTTTTTTATAACAAAATTTTATTAAGTTTATATAGATAAGGAAAAATAGGAACAATACAGGTATGGTAAAGGAAGGGGTGGAAGGAAAGGGGAAAGGGAAGGGAATAAGGAATTAGGGTAAAGTAAGGATAGGTACAATCACATATTTCAGCAAACAAGCCACCGTCCGGATCATAATAATGAGTAAATATCATATTCAACCATTTTTACCAGAGCATTTTTACTATAACATATTAGAAACAATTAGTAAACAAATACGTTGATCTATTAAGTAAACACTACTAATAAAATCTCAAAAAATCCTAACAATCAAAAGTAACAAATGAGAATCAGTAAATCAGGAAAAATAATCATATAATCAAAATGTTAGTTAGAACTCGATTAAAAATCAGTCATCTATTCTAAAATATTGAATCCTTCAAGTTCTAGTTTGTTTGTTTTTTCTTGAAGACATTTCACTTCTCATCCAAGACGCCTCCTCAGTTCTGGCTTAGAACTGAAGAAGCTTCTCGGATGAGAAGTTAAATGTCTTCAAGGGGGAAAAAAAACCCAAGAAAGTCCAGTTCCTTTTCAAAAAGCACCTTTAGGAGTACCAAAGCAGATGTTATTCTAAAACACTTCCCAGAATCAGATTCCATCCAGATGTGTTAGACTTTACATCCTATAATCCTAAAGGAGCTAAACTAGTCCTGCCAGGTTGTGAGAATTTAAATCTAACACATTTAGGTTGAGTTGAATGTCTGAGCTGTTTATTGCTAGTGCCAGCTCACACCAAGAAGGACTAAAACATTCGGCAGTTTCCCAAATTAGAAGAGGAGAAAGTTATTCAAGAGGGACTCGTGATGGAGTTTTGAAACTAGGACAGCTGTACAGAGAAAGAGAGAACAGATGTTTCTCCCTTTCTCCTGATAGAATTTCAGATCATTCAGTGAACTGATGAGTAACTTCAAGAAAGGCAAACTGACAGAGTGAGAAAGAGAGAGAGAGAGAGAGAGAGAGAGAGAGAGAGAGAGAGAAGGAACATTTTTTGCATCATGTAAAATTCATTTGTGGAGTTCTTTGCACTAATTTAGCATTTAGCTTTTAGAAGGAAAGGAAGGGGAAATTGCTCAGCTGAGTTGAGATGAGATCTCACGTATCTGGGTGGTTGCAAAATTGCATAGAAGAGTTGCAAAAAAGTGTTGCATGGAATTCAACACTTGGGGCAATGTACGTTTTAAATAGCCACGTTCTGTCTGCAATATAAAACATTTAAGCCCCCAAAGCGTTTTTTTTTTCAGTTGCTTAGATATCAAATTTCTACACCGTCAATTTTGCTTAAGTAAACTTTACAAACCACATCATAATATAAAACGTGACTAAAAAGCAAAGTTGAAATACTCTAAAAACAAGGTTAAAATGTACAAAGTAAAAAGTAAAAAAACAAAACAAAACCCAAACTTAAAAAGGTTTTGCCCTCAATGAAACAGCATAAGTACATGCCGCATAAAGATTTTGTACAAGTCTTGTCGTACAGATTTCTATACATTTTGGATGCTAAGTGGATTTTGCATCCCTCTAACCAAAATGTGGAATGGCTGTTTAAAGTTGGTCAGTACTGCTACTATGTAGAGATTGCAAAACAGATCTGAGATTACATAGGCAGATCTTACCTATGACTAACTATAGAGGGAAAAAAGTCCCCTGTTTTTTAAATAAGTCTCTGAGCCACCATACTGGACCAAATTTGAACCTGTCTTCTCTACAGCCTTGATCTCTTCCCACTCTTAGAAGTCTACCTCACTGACACCACGTGAAGTTCTGCACCCTTTTGTAGATGTGTTGTAACCCAATACCTAAATAGATGAACTGGAAGCATTCTACAGTCTATTTTTTAGCTCTAGTGAGGTACCCAGATTTGGTTCACACTGCACGGATCTTATCACTGTATCTTTATACTGGGTATGTATTAATTAGAACTTCTATTTCTGACTAGAATGTAAATATCTGAAGGACTAGATGCTTTCAGCTGAACATGAGGTGGATGCTTAGAATCCTAGCTCAACCCCGAGTTTGCAAATAGATGCGCAATGTGTGTTTATCTGTGGGGAAAAAAACCACTTTAGATAACTGGATTTATTCTGGTATTATAGAATACTACCAGATCTGCACAAGTCCAGTCCATCACAAGGTGGCAACAAACAGATAAAACTCTAGTTCTTTGCCACCATCCCGTGGTCATGGAGATTTGGGCAGCAGTTGTGATAGCCCTGGCCAGTATGCTGGTATCTATTACGTTGGGCTACCATTTCTCCTGAAACTTATTTCTAGGTTCACAGGTTTCAGCTCAGATAACTGGCTAATACAGTGGTTCTCAACCTTTTTAATGCCACGACCCCTAACCGGTCGTAAGTCGAGGACTACTCAACCAGTCATAAGTCGAGGACTACTCAACTGGTGCAGCACCGTTTACAGAATGGGACTTTTGGCGGGCTCAGCAGGGCAGAGACAGCCTGGACAATTCCTATTGGCTTTTGAAAGCCAATAGAATTAGACTCTATTCAAGAGAGTCTATTCTATTGGCTTTCAAAAGCCAATAGAATAAAAGGGAGTAGCACAGCTAAGGAAAAGGGGAAAAAAATGGCGGACTGCGTTGTTTGGCGACCCCCGTGAAATGGTCGTTCGACCCCAAATGGGGTCCCGACCCACAGGTTGAGAACCACTGGGCTAATGATTCACTCACTGCCGATTAAGAAACCCTTCCACCCTAAAACATGGGAAACATTGCTTACCTTGAAGGATATTTCTCAAAGGAAGGTAAGGAGTTGGCCTTAAGGAGGTTAGGCTTTAGTGATTTATACCTCTTTGGCTATGCCCTCCCTTGATCATGTGACTACTTTCTTCATCAACCCAAACTCAACCTTTCTCAATTGTCCCTTTCATTAAAATTTCGGCAGGTCACAATTCCTAGAGCTTCAAAGGTGAACATTATAGATCATTTATATGCTTAAGGTTATATTCAGTCGGGGGTTTTCTTCCCCCCCCCCCAGACTCTTGAAAGCTACCCTAATACAGGCCTTGTTGTAATGAAACAATTGTTCCTTTGTTATCCCTTTCCTGCAAAGTCAGATGACGGCGGTGCGCGAGAACTTAATAAACAGCTTCATTCATGGTTGAGGGACAGGTGAAAATTTAGACGATAGGACAGACCCCCAAATCCCTGAGTGCTGAAAAGCTCGGGAGCGCTTGAAAAAAAAACATTGAAAGGGTCTTCCATAGAATTATGGAATTGCAGATCTGAGGAGTTTTGGAAGGCACCACAAAGATCATTTAGACTAACTCTTTGAGGAAAAAAACCAATGATACTATTCTTGAGAGGTCACTATCCAATTTCTTCCCTCTACAAATGAAGGACCCACAACCTCCACAGGTCAATTGTTCCACTGTGGTATCGGGTCTTACTATCGGGAAGATTTTTCCAGAAAGGCAGGCAAGAGAATGATGGGAACCCACAAGTTCTAGCCAGGTAGTCCTCAAGTTATCACCCTAATAGAATCTGCCCATTAAAGTTGTAATGGTTGTTAAATAGGTCAGTCACACAATCGATCTGATATTACGTTGTTGTTGTTTCAGCAGTCATTAAGCAAATACCATGACTCTTAAGCAAATTCATTGTTCGCTATGACATGTTTTGCTGAAAACCAGAAGGAAGTGCTTGTTTTTGGCAAAACCTTCATAAAATGCAGTCACATGGCCACAGGATGCTGCAAACAGCCAACACTGTGGCCATGTTGCTGAGTGCCAAAACGACGGTCATCAACTTTGGAATGGAGTCATTTGTCCCCTTTTTATCGCTAAGCAACAGGCTGTAAGTTGAGGCCTAGCCATGGATGCATAGGTTTCTAGTGCCTTTGGGAAGCCAATCAGAAGCTTGTGTACAGACTTGAGGGCCTCTTAATTTTTGCAGAACGTACAATATTTTAAAAGGAGGGAAAGTTTATAATGTGAGGAAGGATATCCAAAAGGCAGCCCACAAGATCTGGGCCTCTGAGGGCCCCTCAAATGTTGAAGAAAGGAGGACATTTTCATAGCAAAATGAGCTATGACTGGCTGGGCAACTCTGGGAGTTGAAGTCCATCCATCTTAATAGTGTCAAGTTTGTTTCTGAGGGAGATGTTTCTACAAAATGTTCCCTCCAAAAAAATGGCCTGTGTTTCCCCCCCCCAATTTATTTCTAGTATGTGTGATAGAAAAGAAATTGCTTCCCAAAAACTTTCAAAGGAGAAGACAATGCAAATGAAGTAGAGGTTGTCCTCAACTTATGACCACAATTGACCCCAAAATTTCTGTTGCTAAGCAAGACATGTCCTAAGTGAATGTTGCCTCAATTTACAGCCTTTCTTGCCACAGTTGTTCAGTGAATCACTGCAGTTGTTAAGTTAATGACATGACTGTTACGTGAATCTGGCTTCCCCATTGACTTTGCTTATGTCAGAAGGCCACAAGAAATGAGCAGAAGATCCGGGACACTGCAACCGTCATACATATGAGTCAGTTGCCAAGCATCTGAGGTTTGATCACGTGACCATGGGGATGCAGTAACTGTCAAACATGTGAAAAATGATTGTAACTTACTTTTTTTTAGTGCCGTTGTAACTTTGAATGGTCACGAAATGAACTGTTATAAGTCGAGGACTACCTGTAAAACCCTATAAAGTGCAAAATTTCCCTCTCACTTTGGTTATGAAAAGGCCAAAAGATGCATCTAAACATCCCATCTTTCAGTGTGGAAATCCTTCTGGCCAACTGGAAGTTTTTAAGAAGAAACTGGACAGCCATTTGTCCAAAATGGTATAGGGTTTCCTGCCTGAGCAGGGGGTTGGACTAGATGACCTCCAAGGTCCCTTCCAACTTTATCCTTATTATTATTATTATTAGCTCTTACATTCCAAGCTTATAAAACCAATCCGTGCTGTAGATCTATAAAGATGGAGGGTCAAACTGGTTTACTCATCAGTAAGAAAGAACTTTAAGTTGAGCTTTGACATCCCAAAGTAATACAAAGTAATCTTGTTACATATTTCTTTTTTAAGTGAAGACAGAACTGCCACGTAATTCTTACATTTTAATTCAAATTTGGTTCACTGTTGTTTCAAACACTTAAGAATCCACTGATTTACATTCACTAACAAACTAGGGAACATTCTTTAGGAAACATAACAATAATTATTACAACTTTTCGTTTCAGGGAAGGTTCTTGTTGTGAATGTCACCTTCTATTCATTATTAACTTTTTGTTTAATCAGTGTGCAAGCAAGAAGATCCTGCCATCCAAGGAAAATCCTCTTCTTCCTCTTCTGTTAGTTGTGTGTGTGTGTGTGTGTGTGTGTGGTTTCTTGTACTGGACAATGGAATAAACCTATGGATTTCTTCCATGTTTGCTTGTGCTCAACAATTCCTCTTGGAGAATCAGATGGCTTTACAAATATACTTAAGGCACTTCTGTTTCAATGCTAGAAAAAAGAAAGAAGGGTCAATTCATTGCAGAGAAAGAAATTCATATTTAGACAGAAGGGAATATTTGTTGCTAGGGTTCAACCAGGTTCCTTGGTGCTGACTGAGCTTGGTTGTTTTCTTGTAGATGTTTCATTACCCAGCTAGGTAACATCATCAGTGTTAGAAGGGAGTGGCGTTTGTTCTGTTTATATATAGTTTGCCCTATCAGTGTTGGTGGGAATGTTCTTGGATAGTGATTAGGATGCCGTTTACTATTGGATTGTTTATTTGTTGAAAACTCCTTAATTGCACCAAATTAATCATAATTTCAAAGGAGAAACTCTGAACATCCTAGGCCAAGCTAGGTGCAAAAATATACAGAATTTCTTGAAGTCTTACACTTAGACGAATCAGCAATCAACAGGCAAATAGAGATAAACAACAGCTACATACCATTCAAAAAAGACAATTTAAAAAATCTAAAAGGAAACAAAAGACCAAAACACCAGCAATCAACACCCAGATAGGTAGAGATTAACATCAGGATTAATTCCAGAAAAATAATTAAGCAGTAAACAATACCCCAATGAAAGAGCTACCAACTCAGACAAACAATCCAACAATAAATAACGACCTAATTAAGGAACTACCAAGAGCACTCTCACCAACACTGACAGAACAAGTCACTGATATGTAAATAGAGAACAAATCCCACTCTCTTCTAACACTGGTGATATTACCTAGTTGGGTAATGAAAGGTCTGCAAGAAAACAAGCTGAAAGAGCACCAAGGGTCCCACAGACTTAGTGAACTTTCATACTTCCCTGGATCTATTGTGGGTCTCCACCTTCTCCCTCTACAAAATAACTTCAATGATTTGAACATGTCAAAAGTGCAGTAAAGGGGTCAAGTCACTTATAAACAATCATCAGGGAAACTAAGATTGGTTTTCCTCTCTTCCCATTTTCCCATTCTTCTGCCAAAACTTATTGGTGGAAAGTTGCAAAACTAAAGAAAAGTTTGGGATAGTTTATTACTGTAACCCCATTAGTATATTTCTTAGGAGGATATGCTATTATAGTGTCATCCTACCCAAGACACATTGAACCCAATGGACATTGAGCAAAATCCTACTGAAATAGATGGGAATATCTACTTACTCTTAGAATAAGTTGATCTCTTGACCTTTTCACAAATAAAGGCTGCATTTTTAAAGAACCATGGATAGTTTTCAACACAGTACCTAAAATGTAAACCAATATCAAAAGATGAATAGGATATAGGATATATTTTGAATTGTGTATTCTTGGATCAAAATCCTTAGCTGATCTCTGTAACTAAAGTAACAAACATACTTGACTTCCAAAAATGAGTGTAACATTGCTTTCAATACTGAACTATAGTACAGAAATACAACATCTTAAGGACTTCTCCAAATCAGTTCTTACTCCAAAGCTACTGAAATCAACTCTTCCTTTGTTTTTAACTCTGCAATAGATTTTATTGGAACAGAAGTTCATTTTATTTTCCCTGTATTCTCTCTGAGGTCTTGTTATTTCTCCTATTCTATTGCTTCTGAGATGAAAACCGATATGCTAATTCCTTGCTAAGGTCACGATAAATTTATTGAGTGATAAATTCAGAACCAAGAAATATTGGATTTAGAAACCTAGCTGTTTTGCACTCCCTGAATAGACTCCAAAAAAAAAAAAATTCCAGGAAGAAAATAACCAATGGGGTCATTAATCTTACAGCTCCCTGCAACAAAATTCAGTTATCTTTCTCCCAGGCTAAGATTCAGCTGTATATTCAAATAGGAAATAAGGAGAGTAGACAACAAGTGTCAACAGTTGCTTCTCCTCTGTAAATCTTTCTCACACATGAACCAAGGTGTCTGATTGCTGCACATAGAATATGGCTGACAGAAGACATATTAGGTAGGGATGAACAATCAAAGAATAGAGCTGGAAAGAACAGAACAGAACAGAACAGAATAGAATCTGGAAAAAGAGAGTATTTGCTGTTTCTTCTTTGCACAGTCATAACATTCTGTTCTTATCGGTTTATAGTATGGATGGTGGACTGGGCTGTCTTCATATATTTTATGGTTTTGTTATTAATTCTAACTGGCTTTACTTGGGCTGCATTGCAAACCATAGTCTCTGAATAGATCAAAGAAATTGCCTGGTCTTCCTGGTTCTGTCAAGCTGAGGAAGCTTGATTTTTACTTATGAACTGGGAATCACTTTTGTTCTGTTAATACCCATTCATCAAATCTGACGAGATCCCTTTTCATTGTATTAAACCCATAAAATCAAATCTCAAGTTGCCAAATGCAGCTGGTGTTCTGGTCCTCTTCCTCAGGTTTCTACACTCAGAATTTCAGGTGCCGAAATATCTTATGATTTATCTAGAAATTTCAATATAAACTCAAGAAAACATTCTTAGCTTCCTTCCCTCATATGCTGTGAGCCTGTTTGAGGTAGTAAAGGATGGATTTGCCCCTGCAGAACCATCTTTGGGCCATTTCTTCCTCAGTGACTTCTGGTATCTTCATAGTATTATCCACCCATTACTGAAGTGACATAAGCCTGGCCTCACTGGTGTAGTTTGGAAAACCATGGTTAGGAACTCTAGAAGGTGCTAGAAGTTTCCTGATGACTCAGGGTGAAAACATGCAAGAGAAGATAATGTCCAATGGTGATAGCCAAAGCTTGCTCTGGAAAAGGGCAGGTTTTATGGCAATCTCACCAAAGCTTGATAAGAAAAGATTGGGAAGTAAAGTTTAGGAGAGACTATAAAGATCCAGAAACCAACATGGGGGATTGATTTTCTTCTAAAAAGCATGGAGCTCTCTTGCTTCAAGCATCAACTTGGAAGGAGTTTCTCCTTCAACTCCTCACCAAAACAAAGGTCCCTTGTGAGAATCTGCACAACTTGTAATACCTAGATTCCTGACTAAGAACTTAGATGAAACCATTTTTAAATTTACCTCATAGCGTGATCCCTCGAGTAGCTCCGATCTCTGGTACAGAAGCACCGCTGATAAAACCTGCACAGCTCCATCACGCAAGGATTCAGCTTTTGAACTGTGAGGGGTGGCACAGTCCCCAAACTGCCTTTTTTGATGACCTGTGTGCATTCTAGAGGGAAAAAAAGGATGTAATCCCAAAAGTAGTCCATGGGATTGACGCTTTGCTGTTGTGGAATAAAACATTTGTTGGCACATCTGAGTACTTTTATTTAAAGAAAGAGTGTGTTTTTGCACAGAGAAAATCAATGCTCTGGAGTTTTGTTTTAAGTTGCCGACACCACACCACACCACCATTTTAGGAGCTCAGCTTTTTACGTAACATCTAATTGAAAATTTCTGGGACTAAGTTGTAAAATTGCTCCACTATGGCTTCTGTGGGACCTCAGTGAAGATATGTGGTTTCTTCATTCATTCCAAACTCATTTTATTTTTTTTTAAAAAAATCATCATTTATGGCAGTGGTTGCTCTTTAGAAGCACTTTCCTCATGCATTTAGTTCAACCCCCCTTTCCTCTTTAGTTTCATAAATAAATAAGTTCCCTTAAACTACCTGGGTTTCCTCCCAAATTAATGTCTATGGAGATTCTGAGTTCAGATGACCCTGAGGGCACAGATAAACCTCCAAGTGGCCTCAATTACTCTCAGAAAGAGTGCTAACCAGTGGTGGGATTCAGCCAGTTTGCACCACTTCGGCAGAACCGGTAGCTAATTTTTTGTTGCCCAGGCCCAGAATGGACTTCCGGAAGCGGCATTCATACAGAGAACCGGTTGTTCACATATTTGAATCCCACCACTGGTGCTCACAACCATACGATGGCAAAGAAATATAAATCCTTCCATTCTCCACTATTCAGTCAGAACGGAAGATGCTTCTTGGTTAAGAAGCGAAACGTCTCCTAGCAAAACAAGAAAGTCCAGTGGCGTTTTGAAAAAGCACTTTTGAGATTCCCAAATTAACCTGCAACAGATGGCAGCCCAAGTTCTCGTCAGCTTGGTAAGCTAACTGATCTTTCTCAAAGAGAATCATTTCCTGATGATTGATCCCTTCAGTAACCCAAATAATGTCTCCTTAAAGGTAGGGAGTAGCCGAACCTTCCTCCAATCTCAAATCTTCTTCCTCTCTGCTCCTGGAAGTGGAGCCTTATCAAAACTCAACTTTTCCTCTTGGGCTGAGGGATTTGATTCCCCCAGAATCACGCTTAGCATTCTTCATGACTTTGAATGGGTTACATGATCAGAGAGGTGGGGAAGTGTCCCCCCTCATATAATGAAGGCCTGACGACATATGCCTGAGCTATCAGAAGCAGCCATGAAGTGAATACAAAATGGCATTTAATTACACCAGAAGAGGAAAAGCAGATTCAAGACAAAGAATCACATACACTACTTGACAAGCTATCAAGGGAAGGGGCTAGAAGAATTTCAGATCTGCCACAGAAGAAACCCTGTGACCTTGGTTGGATCCTCATTCCTTGGATGAACTTAAGAGAGTTGTTGCAAAAATTAAACGGGGAGTGAACTGAACTCTGAGGAATAAACCAGAAACAGAAACTTTTATTTTTAATTTCAACTAAGCAACGTATCAAAGTAATAATAATAATAGTAAAGTTGGAAGGGACCTTGGAGGTCATCTAGCCCAACCCCCTGCTCAGGCAGGAAACCCTATATCATTTCGGACAAATGGCTGTCCAGTCTCCTCTTAAAAACTTCCAGTGTTGGAGCATTCACTGCTTCTGGAGGCAAGTTGTTCCACTGGTTAATGGTTCTCACTGTTAGGAAGTTTCTCCTTAGTTCTAGGTTGCTTCTCTCCTTGATTAGTTTCCACCCATTGCTTCTTGTCCTGCCTTCAGGTGCTTTGGAAAATAGCTTGACTCCCTCTTCTTTGTGGCAGCCCCTGAGATATTGGAACACTGCTATCATGTCAAGTGTGCATTGGAAACTAGAGTCCAAACTACAGGTAGGAAGTGTAGGAAGACAGCAACCCCCCCAGAGAAAGAAATATTTTGGGGGATATTAAAAAGGCAGAATATATTTCCCTAAAGAATTAATGGGGAACATCTTAGGCTGAAACCATCACCCAAGGCTCTCTGCCACAAGTAGAAACCAACTTTGTAGAAATGCAGATTTGATAATCCTTTCAGAAGGACTGGAGCCAGGAAGCTTGGAGCTGATGGGATTAGAAAGACAAAGACTCCTAGAACCAGCAATTCCTCACCCAAAAATCCAACACAACCGCAGGGAAGCAGGACATGATCTTTAGGACATAATAGGATTAACCCACCACCATCAGAATACAAAAAGGGCACACTGAATCTCAGATCAAAGTTCATGCTGCAGGAATAGGAACAACTCCAAACACAAAAGCCAAAGAAGGTATAAAAACCCACCACTCCCAGCTCCATGTGGTCAGCCACCCCAGAAACATGCTGCTGTTACTGAAGTTTCTGGCAACTCAATAAAGAACTTTCTTTCCAAACAGCATTTTGTTTATTCCCGGCTTGGATTGGACCCTGATGAAGATTTTTCTTTCAACAGAAACTAAACTGAAAATGTAAGATTTGGTCACTTCTTCTCTTAAAGCAAACAGATATCTACAACATCCACTTTCTCCTATTGCAAATGCCTTATTTAAAACATTCAGTAACACAAGCAATTTATTGTTATTTTTTTTTATCACAAATACAATTTGCCTGTTCAGGTAGTCCTTGGCTTACAACCATTCATTTAGTGACCATTCGAAGTTACAATGGCACTGAAAAAGGTGACTTGTGACCATTTTTCACACTTACAATGGTTGCAGAATTCCCCCATGGTCACGTGATCAAAATTCAGGCACTTGACAACTGAATCTTGTTTATGACAGCTGCAGTGTCCCGGGGTCATGTGATCACCTTTGGTGAGCCTCTGACAAGCAAAGCCAACGAGAAGCCAGATTCACTTAACAACCATGTGACTAATTTAACAACTGCACTGGTTCATTTAAAACAGTGGTTCGCAACCTGTGGGTCGGGACCCCATTTGGGGTCGAACGACCATTTCACGGGGGTCGCCAAACAACGCAGTCTGCCATTTTTCCCCCTCTTCCTTAGCTGTGCTACTCCCTTTTATTCTATTGCAGTGGTTCTCAACCTTTTTAATGCCGCGAACCCCAACCGGTCGTAAGTCGAGGACTACTCAACCGGTCGTAAGTCGAGGATTATTCAACTGGTGCAGCACCGTTTGCAGAATGGGACTTTTGGCGGGCTCAGCAGGGCAGAGACAGCCTGAACAATTCCTATTGGCTTTCAAAAGCCAATAGAATAAAAGGGAGTAGCACAGCTAAGGAAAAGGGGGAAAAAATGGCGGACTGCATTGTTTGGTGACCCCCATGAAATGGTCGTTCGACCCCAAATGGGGTCCCGACCCACAGGTTGAGAACCACTGTTCTATTGGCTTTTGAAAGCCAATAGAACAGACTCTCTTGAATAGAGTCTAATTCTATTGGCTTTCAAACGCCAATAGGAATTGTCCAGGCTGTCTCTGCCCTGCTGCCCGCCAAAAGTCCCATTCTGCAAACAGTGCTGCACCAGTTGAGTAGTCCTCGACTTACGACCGGTTGGGAGGTCGCGGCATTAAAAAGGTTGAGAACCATTGATTTAAAAGCTGTGGCAAGAAAGGTTGTAAAATGGGACAAAACCGACTTAACCACTGTCCTGTTTAGCCACAGAAATTTTGAGCTCAACTCTAGTCATAAGTTGAGGACTAACTGTAGTTCTTACAATATAGGTGACCAACATTCAGAAGAGACCACGAAGGACGGTCGTTCCTGAAAGGATGACAAAAACACAGATTTCCTTTGTTTTAATATGACGAGTAAAATATTATGAATGTGGAACCTTTTGTTTTGAACTGTTTATCTTTTCAAGGTGGGATTTGGTTCATTCACAAGGAAAGATCTGAAGCTTAGAGGGTCTCTGAGGAGAACAAAGAAATATCTTGTGGGGCCTTCACCATCTCTCAACCCTGTAGAAGAATCTCTCCTGGCGAAAGAAAGAAACAGACAGCTTTATCCTGTAGGTGAGGAGATGCCTGCTTCCAAAGCCACCTCATTTTCTGTCACATTCTTGAACAGAAGCCAGGCAGGAAAAAAAAATATCGTTTCCCCATACTTCAGGGGTGAGATGGTCAGGCGTGGTTGTGCCGCTTCCAGAGACAATGGCCTTATTCTTTTCCAGCTCTCCATCCCTCATCACCTGTTTAAAATTAAAAAGTCATGTGCCAGCAATGATCAAGTTATATGCTTCAGTGGAAGAAAGCCAAAACGAACAAGGAAATTGTTGAGAAGAAAATGTATACCTGCTATTCCAGTCCAAGCACCTAGAAGAAGACTTCTCAATTCCTGCTTTTATCTCCCGGTTTTGACCAGCCTTTTAGTCCTGGTGGAAGTCTCAGAGAAATATCTTCAAAAGTCAGAGGTGAAAGCCCCTCTGGTGTTTTGTTTTGTTTTGTTTTTGTTATCCCCTGACCTTTGTCATATAGTCAACTCTTTAAGACCACTTCCTCATAGTTGACCTTTTGGGTTGAAGCTAGTTTTCATACACTGCTTTTCATTTGTATATGTCATCATTCTTCCTTTTAAACAAAATATGTGATATTTTGCTATTATTTTAAGTGGCATCCACCGAATCTGTAGGGTCTATTTAATTTTCCAAGTCAAGAGCAGGCAACCTGATGCTCTACTGCAGTGATGGCGAACCTTGTAGAGACTGCCCAAAAACCAGCCCCTCCCCATCCCTCCTGCTCCGCCCTCCCCGCTCCACTCCCTACCCCCCTGCCTGCCCGCAGGGCCACTCACCACCTCCACGGCCCACTTCAGATCACCCAGGTGGCCCAGCAGCACCATGGTGGCTACGCCCTCCACCCGCGCCCCGCAGCATCAACTGCGCATGACGGGATGTGAGGATGGAGTCTTGTCCCTGCTGGCCGGCTGCCATGTCCTTGGCTGCACTGCTCTGCGCGGGCCGCACCTGGGGGTGACTCTCCTCCAGGGGGGCTGCTGGTGAGGAGGGGGCCACAAGGGGAGGCAGGGCTGGGGTGATGGTGCGCATGCCCACAGAAAGGGCTCTGAGTGCCGCCTCTGGCACACATGCTATAGGTTCGCCACCACTGCTCTATTGTATATATGACTTGGACTGCAACTCATACAATCCCTTGCTGACCATAACTGATAAGATCAAGACACTGCATATCAGATTTAAATTACAGGAAACAGGTTTGATTGATGGTTAAAAAATCTTCCTAGCTTTAACAGCAGTTCAACAGTGGAACCAATGACCCCAAGAGGTTGTGGACTCCATACAATGGATGGGTTGACATCATTCAGAGATGCTTTAATGTAGATCCTTGCACTGAGCAAAGAGTTGGATTCAGTGACCTCAATGACATTTCCAGTTCTGGGACGGGAACATTCTATAAAATCCCAAATGTGGCGGGGGAGGAGGGCAACAAGTTGTCTATCTCCAGTCTTTGGATTTTTACAGTGATGGGTATCCTTACTCCTATCAAAGGTTGTACTTCCAGAACAGTGGTCTCAGACACACAGCAGGCAGGGAGTGGCCACTAACGAAGCAGACAGGATTGGTATTTGGTGTTGACCTGTAATTCCGAGGAGCTTCAAGTAATCACAACAAAGGGAATGGGGACGGGATGAAACCCAAGGTCTGCAAGTTGCTTACTTATTGAGTTTGAAAGCACAATATGAGAGAATGAATCTTTCTGCGCCAGTTGTTGCTTCTGTTCTTAGGAAGGGCCCTACAGTCTATTACAGTTATCCACAGAAAATATCTATAAATCTATAAAAGATCACATAAATTATTGACTCTATACATCATGCAGCAATCCAGTCATGGATTATAGGTACAATCCAGTCAAGTTAAGCCTTGTAATATAATATCTTTTCTTCAGAAACCTCTGTTCAAGCTCTTTAAGCTTGGCGGAGCTAATTTTTAAGCAATTAGAATATTATTGTAACCTTAACAGTCTTGATTCACACACTGTCCCATGTCTTCAGAGATGACTTCCCTATATTGTACTGGCAGAAAAGAGGGATTTTTACTCTTATCAACCCAAGGCTAAACAGAAGACTGCTCAAATTTCACATTAGAAATTCAGCTCTGAATTATTTTAAGGCCGTTTGAAAAACTAAGTCTTGTGGGTGGGTGGTTGGATCCTAATTTTTCCGATAAGCTTGCCATTCCTTTTCCAACTACCACTTAAACAACCCACAGCATCCATGCAAAATTAACAAAATCATATAGGCATGATTTGTAAGATGTCCATTCGATGCAAAAGAAGCACAGGGTGCTTAAAACAGGACAGACCTGCGCCTCAGCTTAAATCTTCATAATCTATATCAACCTACCTTACAGATTTTTTTATTGCATAGATATTATGCAATATCTATGATACTATGAATTCAACCTACCAGCCAGTCCTAGGACATGACAGTTGCAGACAATCTTACAACCATATCTGAGCCCAGAATTAGAGTCGTAACCCTGGGCGATCATTAAGCAGGTCACCATGTGATTGTGACCGATTTTTGCCATTTTGTGGTGGTCAAGAAGCGAACACCATGGTTGTTTTAAAAAATGCCAGAGTCATTAAGCGAACACCACAAATACACCAACAAAAATTGTCAACCATCTCCCATGACTATAAGCTGCAAACAGCTGTAAATGCGAGTCAAATGCCAACAGCCCAAAAAGCATTTGTGTCACCATAGGCAGGGGAGTGGGCATGAAAAATTAAAACTCAGTCATAAGAAGCAACGGATGGAAACTGATCAAGGAGACAAGCAACTTAGAACTAAGGAGAAACTTCCTGACAGTTACAACAATTAACCAGCGGAACAACCTGCCTCCAGAAACGGTGAATGCTCCAACACTGGAAGTCTTTAAGAAGAGACTGGACAGCCATTTGTCCGAAATGGTGTAGGGTTCCTGCCTGAGCAGGGAGTTGGACTTGATGACCTCCGAGGTCTCTTCCAACTTTATTATGGATCATCGCACAATCAGCCAGATGTTCAGACTGGATTTGGCATTTTGTCTACCTATCGAGTCCTTACTCAGGACCTGGGATAGGCAGATGTGGATGTTTGATGGTATTACAGGTATCGTCGCAGGATGGAAGCAGTTCCTAGTAAGGCCGCCTTTTGCAATTGACTAATAGCAAATTTGTCAATGCCAATGGTGTTCAAGTGGTTCTCCAGTTGTTTTGGGATTGCACGCAAGGAGCCTATCACTATTGGTACTACACTTGCTTGTTTTTGCCACAGTCTTTCTATTTCTATTTGTAGGTCTTTGTATTTTGTTATCTTCTCCAGTTCTTTCTCGTCTATTCTGCTGTCTCCAGGTACTGCCATGTCCACTATCCAGAATTTTTTGTCTTTCTTATCGACAATTGTTAAGTCTGGGGTGTTATGTTGCAGGTGCTTGTCTGTTTGAATTCTGAAGTCCTAGAGCAGTTTAATTTTATCATTTTCTATGACTTTCTCTATTTTATGATCCCACCAGTTTTTGCTTACAGGCAAATGATATTTTTTATTATTATTATTGTTATTGTTATTATTGTTATTATTATATACCTTTTAGGGGAGGTCTGTTTTAACTTCAAAGTGACTGGTCATTAAGCAAGAACTATCTGTACTCCAATCGTCCTCAATCTGATATCCTCCAAGCATGTAAATTTGGATTCCCAGAACTCTCTAATTGAGCCATGGGCATTGCCAGGATTCTGGGAGATAAGATCCATTCATGTGTAGGGAGTCAGCATTCCCAGCAAGTGATTCAATTAAGTCTAGAGGTTAAGGCACCAGGCTACAAATCAGGAGATGGTGAGTTCTAGTCCCACCATAGGCATGAAAGCCAGCTGGGTGACTTTGGGCCAATCATTAGGAGACTGAGAGATCTAGTCATGCCTTAGGCAAGAAAATCAATTGGGTGACTTTGGGCCAATCCCCAGGAAACTGAGATCTAGTCCTGCCTTAGGCATGAAAGGAATTTATCACCAAGTACAGCCAGAATTTGTTTGCAGTTACGGCAGCAAAAGGTGGTGCCAGCTGGGTGACTTGGGCCAATCACCAGGTGACTGTGAGTTCTAGTCCCGCCTTAGGCATGAAAGCCAGCCAGTCATAAAAGTCCATTAGCTGAATATGGGCCAATCACCAGGAGATGGTAAGTTCTAGTCCCGCCTTAGCTATGAAAGCCAGCTGGGTGACTTTGGGCCAGTCAGTCTCATCTCACCTCACCTCATGAGTTGTTGTTGTGAGGAAAATAGGATGAGGAAGGAGTGCGTTCATTCCCCAAGCTATTTATAAAATTAATAAAGGTGGAATGTAAATAACTCAATAATTGTTAAAATTTGTTGCATTTGTGCCAGCAGACAGGATAGCTGCAGCACTTGACCATCTGCTGGTTAAGCCATTGCTGATGGAAATTTGCCCATTCCACGAAAAGTCAAAACAAGGAAAGACGGCAGCCGAAGGCTCAACTTGCAAGTCAATTTGTTGCTTGAAATAGAATCTTCCAGGTTAAGAGTGATGATTTGTTGGCAACACCGGGTGGCTTTTGTGACCAAGACATGGGCGGGAGAAGATGCTACTCAAAAGATCCATTTTAAAGAGCCCAATCTTGCAGACACAATCTCAAGGGAATGTGAGCTAATAGGGTCAGGGGTTTGAAGAATGCAATTATACAATAAATCGTACAGCCAAACTTTTGGTCTTCCCTCTTTAGTTCAGAGAATTCAGCTGATTCCATTAAATTCAACCCTAAGCTTGGGATCCTAGCTTGTTATGTAGGGAACATACTTCAAACTTTGCTTGAAGTTTGTACAATTTCTCCTGTCCATTTTTTTCTAGAGATATCCTGCTAGAACAACAGAGATACACACTGGTACAGGAGTGTCTTACGTTCAGGTGAGTATTTGTAAATCTCCTACAATATTAGCATATTATCTTTGTTCTTCTGTTTCTTTCACCAATGGTCCTGCTTCTGAAATATAATATGGACCAGGCATGAATTTTTACCTTTTAAAGGAAGGGATTGCAAACTTTTAAAGCAAGTTTTCCATCTGCTTTCTCAAAGTCCTGTTGATCAGGTTAGCAGTCAGAGCAAGTGGAAATGCCAGGCTGAACTAAAAGATTTAACCCACGGAGAGCAAAATTTCATTTTTCTTTGGCAGCTCAAAAGCAGTAAAGCAAGGCCGTATCTCAAACAAGCAGAGCTCTCCAATTCAAAGTAATATCAGGGGCCCAGATAATAAGCTTAAGGACTAGAAATGTTTTTAGTATTCCCACCTGATGATTCAGAACAAAAGAAGAAGAGGCAGGAATGAACACGAAGCTCAGGACTAAAGGGATGAATATGAACTCTGGAATTTGAGTGGTGAAAACAGCAGGTGGGATGTCTGTAGCAATTTTTTTTCTGCATAAAAATGTAATTTTCATGCATGGAGGCTGTGAGAACGAAGCATAACAGTCCTCCAGATGTATGCTGTGTTTGGTAGCTCAAAAGAAAAGTACTTACTAGAATTCACCTTTGATAAGCTGTCACTGTTAGGCCTTTGTGTCACAAGGGCAGGTAAGACTGTGTTTCCTGTCACTGAAAAGAGAATTAGAAGACAACACATTAGCAAGGATGGATTGGGAATTGCACTGTTACATCAGAGGTTCCCACTGTTTATGGGTCAAGCACAATGTTTCTGAAGCTTGGCAATTTTTAAGAAGTGTGGACTTCAACTCCCAGAATTCCCCATTCATTTGCATGCTGGGTGTTTGAAGATAGGGTTTATCCAGCATTTTCCCAGGGCACATCCTGCAAGGATTCACATAACCTGCCCTGCCAATGAGATTATAATACTATACCTCAGGGGTCTTCAAACATGGCCCTTTTATGACTTGTGGACTTCAACTCCCAGAATTCCTCAGCCAGCATGCCTGGCTGAGGAATTCTGGGAGCTGAAGTCCACAAATCATAAAAGGGCCAAGTTTGAAGACCCCTGGGCTAGACATAGCTAACTCCTCAATTATTCATCATACTATTCAGTCTCCAGACCCTTTTTAATCATCTTTGTTGTTCTTCTCTGCACTCTTTCTAGGTTGGAATGTGGCAACTCATCGCAGCCAATTCACTACAGCCAACTCGCCATGGCCATTTTGTCCTGGTCAATTTGTTGCATCCAACTCACCACAGCCAACACACCACAGGACAATTCAACAATTCAGTTTAATGGATTGTTGAGTTCATTTCTTTATTCATTCTGCATCCTTTCTTTAATGTTCTATCCCACCATTTCTTCAATGTAAGTCTTGTCCCACAGCAAGTTGCCCATGGAAAGAGGTTCCATGGAGTTGGCCATTATGAGTTGTCCTAAACCCACAGCATCTTTTTTGTATTGGGATGGCTGGAATTGGACAAAATATTCTAAGTGTGGCCTCACTAGTGCAATAAGATCATAGAGACATTTTCCAAGATCCTTTGAATAGTCCTTTTCTACACCTTCTCAAGTGCTGAAATATCCTTTGTTAAGGTGTGACAGACAGAATACTGCACCGTATGACACATAACAGTTGCAACTTACTAAAAGGAGGACGGGTCTTCAAGGCAACTGGTTTTTCTTCTGTAGATGGAGAAACCAACGGAGAAGGAACACCCATTGCTAAAATTTTAAATAATAAAATCATTAGTCTGCTCCCAGCCAATCTCAATTAATCAAAATGAAATTTAAATTCTAGAACACTAGTAACAATAGGAGGGAAATAGAATGTGTGTGTTTTTAAGCTTAGATGCCTTAAAAGGATTTTCTGCTTGCATGAAATAAAGCCTCTCTTTTAAAAAAGCTTTCTGTGCATATTCTTAAGGGTTTAAAAGTTTTACTAAAAAAAATAATAACAGCAATTGGCTGAATGGAAAGTTTACTTGCATAGTCTAGGATTCATTTCTTCATGCTGCGTTTGCTGTTAAAATATATATTATCAAGAGATTAATTTGATATCCAGGTTTTTCAATGAATAAAATTCCTCCACTTTTATCCCCATGAGTTGGGCCCTTTCAACTGAGAGATGTCTAAATAACTAAACTTGGTTGTCCCTGTTACATCATCCCATGTATTGTGTGATCCCAAAAAGTTGAGGATCGCAAATATGAATACTCAAAAAAAGAAACTAGCAATGGTTGGGAAAGAAGATGAATGGATGAAGTTAAACCAAATTTTAAAAAGCCAGTTTGGTGTAGTCCAGAGGTGCCCAACCTTTTGGGCACCAGGGACCAGTTCTGTGGAGAGAGGTTTTTCCACGGACCGGAGGGGGCGTGGTTATGTGTGCTGCCTGTATCCCACAGTTAAGGCTCTGCTTGTTTGTGCAGACTGATTGCTAGCATGCTGTGGTCCGGTACTGGTCCACGGACCGGGGGTTGGGGACCTCTGGTGTAGTGGTCAAGGCATCAGGCTAGAAACAAGGTGATCAGGAATTTCAGTCCCACCTTAGGGATGAAGCCAGCTAGGTAACTTTGGACCATTTGCCGAGAGACTGTGAGTTCTAGTCCGGTATTAAGCATGAAAGCCAGCGGGCTGACTTTAGGCCAGTCCCTCTCTTTCAGCACTAGGAAGCAAGCAATGATAAACTACTTCCCAAAATGTTGCCAAGAAACCTTCAGGGACTTATCCAGCCAGTTGCCAGAGATCAACAATGACTTAAAGGTACCAAAACAATAGGGAAAAGAAAGCTTGGAAAACTTGGCAATGAACAAGAGAGCTGAAACGCTGGATATTTCCAGACTTTGAATGCTCACTTGGTCCTGGCCGGGTCTTAGACAGAAAGTCTGACTGGATCAAAGGAGCTGAAGATATAGATGGTTGGGTGGGAGAAAGGTCCCATCCTGTTGAAGTATTTGTCTGCAACCAAGATGAGATCAGGGCAGAAGGACCTGGAGAACTTTTAGAAGTAGCAGAGTTTTGCCATATTGTGAACTGCTGAGGGACTGCTTCATCCTCTTTCACAACAATGGTCTTAGCTTGTAAAGGTATTCTTGCGGCTGGAGAAAAAAAAAGAAAAGAAAAGAACATACATCGACAGAGTTTTATGGAACATTTATGATCTACCTTAATAGGTCTGCAGCTCCTGGAGTTTAAATGTGGTCTTTTGATAATTTTCTTGGGAGGGAAGAGGGTTCATTGGTTTGAATGCATGGTCCTATTGCAATTAAACATACACCTTCACTTTTCTGCCAGTATTTTTTAGTTCAACTCCATAGAATGACTCCACCTGGATTCAGATCTATTATAGCTCTCCTTTTTTTAGTTCCGCAGCAAGATAATTCCTCTTTTTTTTCAGTTCAGTACATACACTTTATCATTTACTCCTTTTACATCCCAAGTGTTAACGTTGCAAATATTGTATATTCTTGCTTTTGACAATATGCAGAATTGTCTGGTAAATATGGGGTTAATAAAGAGCAGAAGGGGCATTGGGGGTAAAGCCCGGGAAAGAAAGAGGAAGAAAGCATTTGACCTTCACACTAATTGGATAATGTGAGTTATGACAGCTAATTTAGGGAGGGAACATGCTGATAATTTAACTGCTCAGAGGAAGAGAACTTAGATCCTAGCATCCCTCCGTTGTGCCTGTGCCGACATTTTGTAACAATAAAAGACTTTTAGGAAAATAAATGCCTGGAAGTTCTTTGGAATGTTTCATTAGCCGGAACCACAACACCAAGTTGCAATGTTCTGAAAGCTATGGGCTTCATCAGATGGGCCCATAGATAGTCAGATCTGCTGTCCATCCTGAAACTGGCTGAGTTCTCATACTACGTTTTACTAAGATAAAGTATAGACTGTGTTAGTTCTGGCACATTTTGATCAGTAAACCAGACCTACAAGCAAACCTATTTTTAATCCATGCTCATGCTAGTTTGTACAAGCTACAAACTCTATAAACTTGAGATGATCTTGCAATCTTTTTTCTTGTGTTCAACTGTGTCCAATTCTTGGAGAATCGCTGGACAAATCCCTGAAGTTTTCTTGGCAAGGTTTTTCAGAAGGGATTTGTCCTGGTCTCTTTCCTAGGGCTAAAAGGGCAGGGCTAGAACTTAGAGACTCCTGAATTCTAGGCTGATGACTTCACCGTACTGGCTCACACACACAATACATTGTTGTTGTTAGTTGCGAAGTCGTGTCCGACCCATCGCAACCCCATGGATAACGTTCCTTCAGGCCTTCCTGTCCTCTACCATCTTCCGGAGTCCATTTAAGCTCACTCCTACTGCTTCAGTGACTCCATCCAGCCACCTCATTCTCTGTCGTCCCCTTCTTCTATTGCCCTCAATTTTCCCCAGCATTAGGCTCTTCTCCAGTGAGTCCTTCCTTCTCATTAGATGGCCAAAGTATTTGAGTTTCAACTTCAGGATCTGGCCTTCTAAAGAGCAGTCAAGGTTGATCTCCTCTAGGACTGACCGGTTTGATCACCTTGCAGTCCAGGGGACTCGCAGGAGTCTTCTCCAGCACCAGAGTTCAAAGGCCTCAATTCTTTGGCGCTCAGCCTTTCTTATGGTCAATAAACTGATATACAATATACTGATACACAATTTTGAATGTGTTTTAGGACTTAGAAAAATGGAAGACTGGAATAAAAATTACCTTAAGCAAGTAAAATCATTTATAATAAATGTGATACTGTTATACCGCATGAAGTCAGGGATGGTTTGAGGAGTCTATAACTGATTGGTTGAAGTATTCATACCACACAATTATATAGCCTATGCAGACTCACTATGAGCTGGCAGAAACCTTGATGAAGTGCTGTAGTTTTCTATGGAAGCAGGAGAAGACCTCGTCAAGGTTGTTTCAGCAGATGGAGCACCAGATTCTTTGGAAGCATTGGTCTTTGGCCACCAGGAAGCTTGTACCACTGGAACTTCAGATCCTTCTGCTTTTCCAGGCTTCAGCCAATTTGACTGCTTTGTCAACAACAGGTCTTCTTTCAAGGTATCAGTCTGTGTCCAGCTAGGCAACTTTGGAGCTGAAAGATGTTAAACATATTTATTGTTTGTGAATTATGTTTCAACTTCATGTGCAGATCTGTACATTGGGGAAACAAAACAACCACTTCATAAACATATGGCACAACATAGAAGAACAAACCCATCAGGACAAGATTCAGCAGTCCATCTGCATTTAAAAGACAAAGGCCACTGTTTTGAATGCAGCAAAGTTCACATTTTGGACAGAGAGGACACTGGTTTGAAAGAAGGGTCAAAGAGGCCATCTATGTTAAAACTGAACAAACCTTGCTCAACAGAGGGGGAGGGGTATGACATCATCAATTTCCAGTCTACAACACAGTCCTTTCAGCAGTTCCATAAGCTCCACACCCATTAGCACTACTCAGGGGACCCTGACAACACAGATAAACCTGTGGCATCAACAACTCTCTAAAAGAATGCAAATGACCAGCTATCTGCAAGGAATTTAAACCCTCCTATTCCCCACCATCCAGTCAGAGCTGAAGAAGCTTCTTGGATGAGAAGTGAAACATCTTCAAAGAGAAAAAAGGAAGTGCAGTTGCCCCGTGAAAAACCACCTTTGGGATTCCCCATGATTATATATAAAGGCTATTCATGGATATTAGATCTCTAGGGATACCACTTGACATGCCCAATAAGCTAAATGTTGATATGATAAAATACTGAAAAGCAGATAATTCAGCCCCCAAACAAAATGTAATGTTGATTAGCTTGTTGATTCAGTAGCTTGTGTCCAGGAGGTGTCTTCCCATACTTCCACCATCATTAGATCAGCAATCTTGGGAACATTCACAGTCCACAAATCACCACATAAATCGTAGGGACTGGATTTTATTGAAAAGTGTAAATATATCAGGGGGGAGGGAGATGGATGATAGATAAATGGAGGGAGGGAGGGATAAAACTTAATGGCTGTTATCAAATGGAATATAGAAAAACAGTGGCTGCATGTGAGGAGTGTTGACATGTTGTGAGTACAGAGGCTACAAATCCTAGCATTTACAGTTCGCTGATTCAAATCAGCTTACATGCCAGCTAGCTTGTCAATATATTTCCTGAGGACTGGGGTACCTCTGTCATGTGTATAACAATCACATTCTTTCAGCTCCTCCTATTCGACCTAAGTTTTTTTAAAACATAAACAGATCTTCAAGAGGAAACCAAGGAATGAAATATGGACCTAGGGTGGGACAAAAAAAAAAAAGCTGACCATCAGCCTCAAAGAATGTCTGATTAAAGCTTGGACTTTCTAGAAATCTGGGAGAAAATAGAGGAATTTGCTGCAGAAAATCATCTTTGTAAAGTTAGGTAAGTCTAGCCCAGATTTTTAATTTTCTGGGTGGCACCAAGTTTATTGTTTTTTTGTTCTTATTCCTTGACCTCATTCCTCTTTCCATTTTCTTATTTCTCTATCTAAAAAGGAAGAATATAGAATTTTGTGTAAAATTCTGGCCATATTTCACTCAAATCAAACTGTGAAATGCAGAGGTCAAAATGAAAATACTTTTTGGTATTTTTGCTCAAACTGGGGGAAAAAATTAAACTTTGATTTTAGGTTTTGATGATTAGAATGGCTTTGTTGTTCTAGAAATGGCCTGAAATGTGGAGAAATGTAAAACTAGGTAAAGCTGAGGTTTAAGTTCTTTTTGTAATCTACTGCGTTCAAAAAAAATCAGGTCACTATTCTTTCTTTCTTTTTCTTTCTTTCTTTCTTTTTCTTTCTTTCTTTCTTTCTTTCTTTCTTTCTGCATCCTTGTTTTTCCTTCTCTTAGTTTTCTTTTGTTTCTTTTTGTTTTTTTATTGGATAATAAACTTTAATATAAGGACTTTTTAAAAGATAGAGATCAAATTATTCAACTTTTGAGAAAGAGAAGATTCTTTTGTATATCCCTGGTAGTTTAAAAAAAGAGAGAGCTGTAATAATCTTTTATGGTATGCAATAATTGTGACATGGGACTGCTGTTTTAGTAAGTCTCATGTCAGAACTGGCTCCAATTAATATGCAGTTGTGGACTATTCTAATTCCTCTTTTCATTGCCCAGTATCTTTCTCTCTCCTGAATTAACATATTCAAGACATAATGTTAGGCCCGAAGAATCGAGAGCGATACATGGAGTTACTTCTGAGTAGCTGCTTTATAGTTGTTTACCGACAGACAGAATTTTGCCAGACTAAAGCAATCGTCTACAACAGTGGTTCTTAACCTGGGCGATATTGCCCCCCAGGGGGCGATTTCATTTTTCAGGGGGGTGATGGAACAAAATGGGGGCGATATGGGGGCGATGGAGCAAGAAGTTTTGGGGACACTTTTGAGACTTTTTCGTACAGTGAATCGCTGTATATCTGTCGTACAAAAACATCAGATCGCTCGCTATTAGTGGATTGAATTAAGTTTTCAAATGTTCCTCCAGCTAGCTTCAGTACAGAACGCCATACATATGTGAAGACGCATCGCTTATCTTCATGCGTGTTGCGCAGCAGCCTCTACCCATACAGTGGCACGCCATTGGCCAGAATATGGGAGATATGGGGAAAAGACTGGAAATAAATTATTTGCATCGATATGTCCTGATGACAATTTTAAAGAAAACAAAAAAAGTGTTTGCATAAATTGAAGAATTATTTCCTATGTTGTGATTGAGAGGTTATGTTGGGGGAGGGGGCGATGACAACTTCCTCATTGGCTCAAGGGGGCGATTCGTTCAAAAAGGTTAAGAACCACTGGACTAGAAGACCTATAGAAGTTTCTGAATTGGTAGGGAAGCTCTGATCTTGCTCCCTTCCTGCCCACCAGATATTCCAAGCTCTGTTGTCCCTCTGCTCTCTGGGAGAAAGCCCTTCCCTCCCGTAACTCCAGACTACCTTCTACCACGTATACTCACCCAAGAAATCTGATATGTTCCCGGAAAAAGTGTAGTTGACTATAGGAGACTTCTCTATGGCTTCCCATAAGTCTGTAAGATTTCTGCCTATGGAGAAAAAAAAAGTGTGGGGAGAGGAAGACATCATTGCTTTTGGTTGAGTGATCCCTATATCTAGCGCCATGGAGAAACCAATAAACTATACAGCATCCCATTCTCCCTCTTTTGAATGCACCCTTCCTATATGTTGGCTGGATTTCGACAGCATCAACATCGAATCAATAAAGAGGCTTGAAGGAATTAAAGAAACGCTTGAAGAGGCCAGCTGAGGACCTCTACCATAGGTTGTCCTGACTCCCTTCGCCAAAAGGAAAATGTGAAAAATCATCCTTGAGAAGGCGGGAGGTGAAATCAGAAGCACAAGGGGCCCTAAAGAAGATAGGAGAAGACCACTGCACTGAGCAGGAACCTGAGCTTGTTTGCAGGATTGCAAAACCTGGACTCCCATAATTCAGAGCAAAAAATATCACTACCTCTGCAGAATTTAACACACTATATCTATACCTACATCTATATCTACTGCAGTGGTGGGATTCAGCCACTTCGCACCACTTTGGCAGAACCGGTAGCTAATATTTTGTTGCCCAGGCCCAGAATGGACTTCCAGAAACGGTATCCACACAGGGAACTGGTTGTTCACATATTTGAATCCCACCACTGATCTACTGTTTATCTATGTCTATATCTAGATGGAGGATATCTATAAATGATAGATAGATAGATAGATAGATAGATAGATAGATAGATAGATAGATAGACAGACAGACAGACAGACAGACAGACAGACAGACAGACAGACAGGGTAGGTAGGTAGGTAGGTAGGTAGGTAGGTAGATAGATAGATAGATAGATAGATAGATAGATAGATAGATAGATAGATAGATAGATAGATAGATGGGTGGGTGGGTGGGTGGGTGGGTGGGTGGGTGGGTGGGTGGGTAGGTAGGTAGGTAGGTAGGTAGGTAGGATGGATGGATGGATGGATGGGTAGGTAGGTAGGTAGATCGATGGATGGATGGATGGATGGATGGATGGATGGATGGATGGATGATAGGTAGATAGATAGATAGATAGATAGATAGATAGATAGATAGATAGATAGATAGATACTGGATGGTGAACAAACAAACAAACATAAACACAAAACAGTTAAAAACAAGAATAAAATAGACTAAAAAGGCAGGGGAGGGGCTTCAGAATGCTAACCAGTCCCATGACTTTACGCTGCTCTGTGGGCCCCAAGTGAGCCAGCAGAGGATTTCCAAGAGACCAGGATCATGGGGCTCCACCTCACCTCTGGGGGGAGAACATTCATCAGGATGGGGGCAGATGACAGAGAAAGCTCTCTTCCTGGGCCCTTTAAGTTGGAGTTCTTTAACTGACGGGATCAACAGCGTACTTTACCTCCCTGGCTGGATGGGACAGGTTGATCTAATGGGGCAAAGACAGCTCTGAGGTCAGCAGGGCCATGCCAGGTAGGGCTCTAAAGGTCATTGCCAATACCTTGAACTGGACCTGGAAGCAAACTGGCACCTATTGCAGCTTATGCAGCAAAGGTGTTACCTGCACCGTCCTTGGAGCACCCAAAATTGCTCATGCAGCTGCATTCTGTGCCAGGTGAAGCTTCTGGATATTTTTCAATAGTCCAAATGGGAGACAATCAGTGGGAGAGTCAGTGAGCAAAGGGCCTCTTTATCCAGGAAAGGAGGTAATTGGTCCACAACACAAAGTTGAGCAAAATAGGCCATGCCCCTCAAAAACTTATTTAGTTGGAGCTAAGAGAATAACAGAATTGGAAGGGACCTTGGAGGTCTTCTAGTCCAACCCCCTGCTCGAGCAGGAAACCCTATACCATTTCAGACAAATGGCTGTCCAATCTCTTCTTAAAAACTTCCAGTTTTGAAGCACCCACAACTTCTGGAGGCGAGTTGTTCCACTGGTTTACTGTTCTCATGTCAGGAAATGTCTCCTTAGTTCCAGGTTGCTTCTCTCCTTGATTAGTTTCCATCCATTGGTCCTTGTTCTACCTTCGGGTGCTTTGGCAAATAGGTTGATTCCCTCTTTTATATGGCAATCCCTTAGATATTCAAACTCTGCTATCATGTCACCCCTAGTGTTTCTTTTCAGTAAACTAGACATTCGCAATTCCTGCACTTAGGTAAAATGGTGGAGTCCATAACTGGGATGGGGAAGAGAGAAAGATAGAAGAGACCTACATACACATATGGGGTTCAACTCTAAGCAATACATTCCTGAACAAAGAAGAGTTTCAGGTTTACCTATTCGTCCTGACATGACGCAAATGTAGATGCAATCTGTATCATTGCTCTGGCTCACTGAAAGAAGATAATTGTTTCGTTAATTTATTTAAGATTCCTTAAACTAAAATTCAAACAGAAGCTAATTTTCAATTCGCATAGGGAAGGAAATAGCAAAACCTTAAAAAGAAAAAAAAAACTTAACTCTCTGAGGTTCTAAAATCAAAACGTTGCTAATGCCAAGGGATCACCCCAAAAATACTTATAATTTCTTAAATGCAAAAGGAAATTATTTGGAGGGAGGGTTAGGGCTTTTGTCTGAACATTTTGCCTGAAATTGCTTTCTTCAATTGGTTTCTACAATTAAAGGACTGAGCTATGGACTGGAAAAAAAAATTGCTATTGTAGAAAGCTATTCTCCATGGAATTCAAAGCAGCTTATATTAAAACTACACAGATTAAAATATTATTAAAAAACTGTACTAAAATTGAAACCAAGGGAGCTAAGAGATGGATGGGATGAGGTCTGCTTACCCCATCAGCCAATTGTTCTCCCCTAAGCTACATTTCCTGCTTCCTTATTTCCTTCATTTAGTCACATGGAATAAATGGAGTATCAGATTAAGCAGCCAGAGAAACAGCAACAATTTTTACCTGACACAATGGAAGTTGACTTGAAAATCTCAGTAAGATAACTGGTGGAGTTTCCCACAATGTCCACCAGCAGTGCTGTAAAATCTAGGAAAGCAAAGGGGAAACATTTTGACATCCCAATATTGTCCTGTCTCCCCGTAGAAGACAATATTTATAGCTCAGAGTTCAACGGTGGAATTCTTAAGGGAATCTGACTCTGGATGTTTGCTTGCATTTCATTACCCAGCTAGGTAATATCATCATCATCATCATCATCATCATATTCATAAAGTTGGAAGGGACTTGGAGGTCATCAAGTCCAACCCGCTGCTCAGGCAGCAAACCCTACACCATTTTGGACAGATGGCTGTCCAGTCTCTTCTTAAAAACTTCCAGTGTCGGAGCATTCACCACTTCTAGAAGCAGGTTGTTCCATTGGTTAATTGTTCTAACTGTCAGGAAGTTTCTCCTTAGTTCTAGGTTGCTTCTCTCCTGGATTAGTTTCCATCCGTTGCTTCTTGTCCTGCCTTCAGGTGCTTTGGAGAATAGCTTGACTCCCTCTTCTTTGGGGCAGCCCCTGAGATATTGGAACACTGCTATCATGTCCCCCCTCATCCTTCTCTTCGCTAAACTAGACATACCCAATTCCAGCAACCATTCCTCATATGTTTTAGCCTCCAGTCCCCTAATCATCTTTGTTGCTCTTCTCTGTGCTCTTTCTAGAGTCTTAACATCTTTTTTACATCGTGGTGACCAAAACTCGATGCAGTATTCCAAGTGTGGCCTTACCAAGGCATTGTAAAGTGGTATTAATACTTCATGTGATCTTGATTCTATCCCTCTGTTATTGCAGCCCAGCACTGAATTGGCTTTTTTGGCAGCTGCAGCACACTGCTGGCTCATATTTACTAAGTTAGATAATGAAACATCTGCAAGCAAACATCTGCAAAGGTTCAGAGACCCTCAAGAATTCCAGTTTTCTTTCCAATGTCAAAGCAGAGAAAGTGTGGATTCAAAAACCTAAAAGACAAGTTGCAATAAATAAACGACTAAGCTTGCTACCTTCACCTTGGAAAATAAACTGTTGTAGGATCACTGAACACAAAGGCTATTTTACATGATTCAGAACTTGCTACCTGTTTTAAGTTTTCAAGGCTGTTTAAACATGTGGTATTCATTTGTTGGAAGTATATCCCAGCTGTACCGTACTTTTTCTCTTTTTAATTTCTTTCATAGCAGGCTATGAACCGGATCTCCTAAGCTCAGGGTAGGACTATACTGACATATGAGATCTTCTAATAAATTATTGCTTCAAGCTTTTTTTCCCCAAGGGATCATTTGAAAATCTATTTTGTATGGAGAAAATATGGTAATGGTGATTTTCGAGTGACTTCAGTTAATCAAATGCTAATAACTTTAATGTTCATATATATTGTTTGTGGAAATCTGTTCTATTCTTAACAAGAAAAAATGCCCACACCTAACTGAGGTTATAAGACAAAAGAAACAATTACGAAGAATGTTCTCTTTTTTACTTTTCCACCTCTTGGTGCCTGTATGAAACTGAAGATTGAAAAATTACATCTCTTTTGAACTTCTCCTATTCCATAACTTGCCTGTTAAGTCGTTAGTCCTGTTGCTTAAGCAATAGCAGTACCGTGTGGAGAACTTGGTAGAATCTATGTTCCTTAAGCTGGATACTGCAGAGAAAAAAATATTATGGAACATAAAATCTTATCCACCAAAAGAATAAGAGAGCCAGTTTGGTTAAGGTGTTGGATTAGAAACCAGGAGACGGTGAGTTCTAGTCCTACTTTAGGTATGAAAGCCAGATGAGTGACCTTGGGCCGATCACCAGAAGATGATGAGTTCTAATCCTATCTTAAGTATGAAATCCAGGTGAATGACTTTGGCCCAATCACGGGGAGACTATGAGTTCTAGTCCCACCTTAGGTATGAAAGTTAGTTGGGTGACTTTGGGCCAATCACTAGGAGACTGAAAGTTCTAGTCCCACGATAGGCATGAAAGCCAACTGGGTGACTTTGGCCCAGTCACCAGGAGACAGTAAGTTCTAGCTCTACCTTAGATATAAAAGTTGAGTGACTTTGGACCAGCCCAACTCACTTCATAGATTTGTTGTCATAGGGATAATTGGAGGAGGAAAAAGAATTAGGTATTTTACCACTTTGAATTACTTATAAAAATAATAATGACAGGATATAAACAAACACACAAAGAAGCAAAAACTCTATCAGGTCCCAATTATCATTAACTTACTGTTGTAGAGGACAATGGACACTTTGTGGAAGGCATATGAACTGTAAGATACAATGCTCAGCAAAGAGAAGAATTCTTTAGTTCCTGTGGGAATACAATTTAAAAACAATCACCCTGCTCATAATTAACAGAGTCTCATGGAAACTAATTTTCTATCCCTCTTATGCAAGGTTACTAAAATGACTTGTGAATATTTAGGCACCATGGGAATCCATAATATATTTCACTCCCTGAGGTTCTGATAAAATTTATTCTCTGGAATCCCTGATGACTGGATAATAAAGACACTGCCATGTCAGCAACCCAGAAAAAGATGGATAATTGACAGGTAGGACTCAGACCTGGGATAGATTTGAGGGAGACATGTGGAGCACAAAGATGCTTGCAAATAAATATTTATGGGGCTTGCAGGTGCAGTACATGCACTCTTTAAATATTGTCATGTTCCCAGTGATGCCATCAGATTTCTGACTTTGAAATGTCAAAACATAACAGAGTTATTTTACATTCATTTGGAAGTTGGTCTACATTGTATAGAAGCCGTGGTGGCGCAGTGGTTAGAATGCAGTATTTCAGGCTAACTCTGCCCACTGGCGGGAGTTTGATTCTGACCGACTCAAGGTTGACTCAGCCTACCATTCTTCTGAGGTGGGTAAAATGAGGACCCAGATTGTTGGGGTCAAGATGTTGACTTTGTAAACCGCTTAGAGAGGGCTGTAAAACGGTATATAAGTGCTATTGTTATAGCTATATTTTCTTGGTAAGGACAAGAGGTTAGAGCAGGTTTTTGGCCAATGGCTTCACTTCATATGCATTTCTCTTTTTCCTATTTCTTTATCTGCTGGTTGAATGTGATTTATCAAAGAAAAAAAAGTAGTCAAATGAGAAACAACCTCTGAGAGCGGTGTTTAGCATGCCATTCACCATCCCTGTGAGGTTCATCGCTGCCAGATCAACCAATTTTGCAGGGAGCTCTGAAAAAGGAAAAATACATATAGTCCTTGATTTGCAACCATTCATTTAGTGACCGTTCCAAGTTATAACGACACTGAAAAAAGTGACTTATGACCATTTTTGACATGACCATTGCAGCATCTCCTGGGTCATGTGATCAAAAATCAGACGCTCGGACCACTGGCTCATATTCACCTTTGCACCCATTTGGGGCAAGCATGCAATGTCAGCATGCACGTAGATAAGGTTTTGCACTATGGCCATGAAACATTGTTTGCTTTACTTTGACATTCCTCCTCCAGCAGTTTGGCAGTTCAATTCTGACTGGCTTAAGTTTGACTTAGCCTTCCATCCTTCCAAGTTCAATAAAATGAGGACATTTTGGGGGCAATATACTGACTCTAAAGAGGGCTGTAAATAGTGGTGGGATTCAAATACCTGAACAACCAGTTCTCTTTTTGGATGCAGGCCTGAGCCTCCAAGGCCTAGAATGGACTTCCGGAAGTGGCATCCACGCACTTCCGGCAGGCCGTTCTAGGCCTGGGAGGCCTCTGCCAGGCCTCCAAGACTAGAAAGGACTCCCGGAAGTGGCATCCATGCACTTCCAGTGGGTTGTTCTAGGCCTGGAAGGCCTCCTCCAGGCCTCCGAGGCCTAGATCGGACTTCCGGAAGTGGCATCCATGCACCTCCGGCAGACCATTCTAGGCCTGGGAGGCCTCCTCATGACCTCCAAGGCCTAGACTGGACTTCCGGAAGCACTGTGCATGAAGCCGGTTCTCCGAACTCAGCAAAATTTAGCTACCGGTTCTATTGAACCTGTGCGAACTGGTTGAATCCCACCACTGGTTGTAAAGCACTATGAAGAAGCATATAAGTCTAAGTGTTATTGTTTTCTCCTTCCCTTGTGAATTTTATACCACTGAAGATGTTGTTGATGGTTTTGTGTATGTTCTCTAGTTGGTTTTTATTAGGACAAAGGTGTCATTTACATATCAGATCTTGTCTTATCATACGTCTGTCTATCTGTCCATCTGTCTATTTTTATCTATTTAATTCATACACACAAACATACACTCACAAACACAAAAGTGCCTATCTATTTAGTTCATAGACACACAAGTGGTATATGTTTGTGTGAAGGTACAAATGTTCATGTATAAAACCAGAATTAACTGAGACCATTAAAGTAGGTCAGCGAAGCAAAAGATGTTGTAAATCTGGCTGCATATTTCTTATTGGCTACTTAGTCATACAGTAAGAAATCCCATAATCAATTTGGTAAAATAAATTTTGTTTCTGCTCACGGGAAAATCACCCCAAATCCCTAAATGGCCTCGAATGATTACCAGACAAGAATTAAAGAGAGTGATAAACAGCTGTAGAAAAATAGTTACAGTCTGCTTGCAATGTCAAAGGGAATCATAATTTTCCTACAAAGCTGTTGTTGATTATCGTCTATCTAATTCTCCCAAACTTTACAACAATTCTGCCATTTCTAATTCAGAACAAGCCTGCAGAAAGACAGGTAGGAAATGAATTCTCTGAAAAGAATTTACCTGCGGTTGCCATTACAACAACTCGTTCTTCTTTCTTATTTTCTGTCTTTGTGCTTGCAGCTACAAAAACAAAATAATATCAATTTCAGAAATAGACTCCTGAGAAAATGTGTCCTTTATGTCTCTCTCTATTAAAAAAAAATCATGATAATGCATAAAATATCTTATTTGAAAACGGTACTTTATTAGATGCGGAATCAAAATTATGGCATTCATAATACAATTTGCTGGGGGGGGTGGTAAATGAAAAGTTCAGCAACTACATTTGTCCAATGTTCAAATTTAATTAATATTAATCTTGGTTAGTTTTTCCCCCCGATGTAGCATGTGGGTTTAGCCCACCTCTTTCGGCTAGTTTATGATTCAATATTTTGTGAGGCAAGGGATTGCAGGGTGGTTAAAAGAAATATATATATATTCTGTGAGCCCACAACATAACTCTGTTGTGAAAACACAGCCATAGTGTGTTACTTACCCAAGTTAGATATAAAGCAGAAGTATAAAAAGATGATGGATAAATTAACACCACTACGCAGAGAAAACCATGGCATTTTGGAATCGGCTTTTTTGAGAAATTATCTGGAGAAAGAGAAGAGAGACAGTGAATCTGACAGAAATGTCTTAAGCAAAATGGTTGTTTATTTTTCCATTAATAGAAACACCACTGGAATGAAAAGAGATAGCACTAGGGCAGGGTTAGGCAACCTTGGCTCTTTTATGACTCGTGGACTTCAACTCCCAGAATTCCTGAGCCAGCCATGCTGAGGAGAAAGGGAGAGGTTTCCAAGCTGAAGCCATGCTGGCTCAGGAATTCTGGGAGTTGAAGTCCACGAGTCATAAAAGAGCCAAGGTTGCCTATCCCTGCACTAGGGTGTGTATGTTTTTTTCAAAATTGCTAACTTTAAGATGTGTGGATTTCAGCTTCCAGCATCCCCCAACCAGCAATTCTGGATTACAATAATAATGTTAGGAACACTGCAAATCCTTTACTGGTATACATATAAATTCACTAGGATAAACTGAAGTTCTTCAGTTTTGGTATAGCAGGTCTAGATGTTGAGACAGGAGAGCTATAGTTTATAATATTGTATTTATTTTATTATTTTATTTTATATTATTTTATTATTTACATAAACAGTGGAGTTCCTCAGGGCTAAAACGTCACTACAGCAATAACAGCCTTTCTAGAAACAGCATTGATTGATTGATTGATCGATTGAAACCTATTGTCATGGTTCTGACAGATGAAACTCTTCAAATAACTTGTTTACCTTAAAGAATCTTTATTAGAGAAGCATAGCGTTGGCACTAACATAATTGGCACTAACATAACTAGATTTCCCCTCCCCTGAGCACATGTATCAAAGCACAATTCCCTCCTCCAATTAACAGTCATAAATCACATTCTCCAATTAATTTGAAATGCAGGCTTTCCCTCCTGTTCTCCAACCCACCAATTCTTATCGTCTCTTATTTCATTAACCTTGGTACACACACTAGGTCGAGTATTGTTGTGTTTAGCTAAACCAGTGGTTCTCAACGTTTGTGTGACGGCAACCCCCGTCACACAAACGTGCCGCGCATGCGCGGCGGCGCCCCCTGAGGGGGAAAAATGGCGGATCGCCTTGTTTGGCGACCCCCGAGAAATGGTCGATCGACCCCAAATGGGGTCGCGACCCATAGGTTGAGAACCGCTGAGCTAAACTCTCATGCACATTCCTCCCCCCAGCATCATCTAACTCTAACTCTAAAAGTAAAACAAAAGGAGAAAATGGTTGCATGTGCAACCGTTGGCAAAGCAAAAGCCTCCGATGTTAGCAGTGTTGACACCTATACCCTATCCTCAATCCAATTGGACTCAAAGTAATTTACAGTACAGTTATATGCAATAAGATATAATAGAAGCAATACAAAAGTATTAATTCAGTCATTTCCTCAAACTTACAATCACAACTGGGACCAGAATTTCTGTTGCTAAGCAAGGCAGTGGTTAAGTAAGTTTCAGCCCATTTTACGATCTTTCTTGCCCAGTTGTTAGCAATAACAATAGCATTTAGACTTTATACTGCTTCATAGTGCTTTTACTGCCCTCTCTAAGCGGTTTACACAATCAGCCTATCAGCCAACAATCTGGGTCATCATTTTACCAACCTCAGAAGCATGAAAGGCTGAGTCAACCTTGAGCCAGTCCGGACTGAACTCCAGGCTGTGGGCAGAATTTGCCTGCAATACCAAGGACCTCTGGTTTGAAAGGAGGGGTAAAAGCGGCAAATTATGTTAAAATTGAGCAGGCCTCTCTCAATAGAGGTGGAGGGATATAAAACCCCATCTATCTCCTGTCTAAAGTGCAGGCCTTTCAGCAGTTTCAAGAAGATTCCACCTCATTTGAACTCTGATACAGGTAAGGTGACCAATCGTCCTCCTTTAGGGAGGACAGTCCTTGTTTTGTAAGTTCTGTCCTCTCTCGAAATGTGTCCTCCTACATGTCCTCCTTTTCGATATTTGAAGACTAATCTGTAAATCTCCGTATTCGCTCGATGCCGATCCGATCCATTTCGTGTGATGTGACGTATTTGTATTTGACATGACGATTCGTCAAGGCTCGGTACAGTGTGGCGAGATGCGATTATGAGATGCATGCACTCTGCACAGAATTGTTTTGAGAGAGTGCACCGCGCACAAGTGGCTTTGTTTACTTCTTACCGAAACACGACACGGCACACACGCACGCATTAGTCTCACTTCTTTCTCAGTGAATATTCAATCATACACAATAATTCACATTTTATTAATTCATTATCTATTTAATAATTTTCAAATATGTATAATTATGTCTTCGGTTCTTTAGGCATTGAATGAGGCAGAATGTTGAAACAGCAACAAGTTTATTAATTCAGAACAGAAGCAGCCCTAAAGGCTGTTGCACAGCTATTTATACAGTTAGCATCTAGGTGGCAACCAATAGGTTTAAAGCAGTGATGGCGAACCTTTTAGAGACCGAGTGCCCAAACTGCAACCCAAAACCCACTTATTTATCGCCGGGTGCCAGGTGGGTGTGGCCACCTCAATGTTGCTCGTGGGGAGGGACGTCTGTGGGGGCTGGGAAGGGTTGGGGGAAATCCAGGGGGTCTCTAGCAGGTGGGGCAGTGGGCAGGAGGCTCATCCTGTGGGGTGAGGCAAGGCAAGACAACGTAGGGCAGGGTGCCATTGTCACAGGGCAAGGTGAGGCAGGGGCCAGGGCAACAGCTGCCTGACACCATCGGCCCCTGCACACAGAGGTCAGCGAGCACATGGATGCTGTGATGCATCCGGCCATGTGAGACCTCGGCGAGTTAGCAGGCGGCTGGTTGAAGAGAGATGGTTGTCATTTCTGGGGCATGGTGCATGTGCCCACAGAAAGGGCTCTGAGTGCCGCCTATGGCACGCATGCCATAGGTTCACCACCACTGGTTTAAAGTAACAGTTTCCCGCCCCAAACCTCACTATCAGCTTGGAGATGGCCAGTCTGGCTTTCAGTAACAGCAACTGTTAAACAATACAGCAATGTAGGTCAGACATTAAGCACGTGATTTAAAACAGTTATGGCCAATACATTACACCCAACCCATCGTGTCAGAAACTAATCCTTCCATCACCCCCACCCTCCTGCCAGAACCCGATGAAGCTTCTTGGATGAGAAGGAAAATGTCTTCTCTTTTCTCGGGGAAACAAAGAGTCCAGTTGCCTTTTGAAAAAGCACTTTTGAGACCTTTCGTTTGTTCTTGGACTCTAATTCTTAGCTTTAATCCATGGTAAGCACATGGCACCATAAGGGGAAAGGGGTAAAGAAGTTCCCTGAAGGAGCATAACGGGATGTCATTAATTCTAAGCAATTCAACAGGAATCAACCCCTGCAGCAGAAGAATCATTGATTCAGGCTAATGGTCCATTGTTGTCCCAGAAAGCTGGTTCTGCCCGGTGTGCAACACCTGATGAAAATATACACTGAGGTAGAAATTTGCAAGGACTTTATTCTGGCATAGAAAAAAGGACACAGGAGGGATCACTCCAACTAGGCCTGTGTAAAGGCCATTCTCTCAACAACACAGTTTTTATTCATACCCCTCCAGAAACCCACCTTAAACAACCCCCTTATAGGGCATTCTATGACTTTGTAGATGTTTCTTCATCATCCTTAGCTTGCATCTGCATTGTCTAGCAGCAATCAACACATTTGCCCCTAATTTCCAGTAACAATTAGCACATTATGCCATAATTAGACCTGTGTATCGTGCGGGTCAGATGATGAGCTGAGAAGATAGCTGCAGATTCCTGACATCCTGGACATAAATTGTTTCAACTCTTCCCTTTGGGACGCTGCTATAGGGCATTGCAGGCCAAATCAACTAGATACAGGGACGGTGCCATCACTCTGCTGAACACCTAATTCTCACAATGCTGTCTAATGTCTATGTGTATTTACCCATGGAGTGTGGTTGTAGTAGCTGGCAGGAATAGCCTACACTCCAGAAGACAGGATTATTGTTGTTGTTGTTATTGCCACACTTGGAATACTGCATCCAGTTTTGATCACCACGATGTAAAAAAGATATTGAGACTCTAGAAAGAGTATAGAGAAGAGCAATAAAGATGATTAGGGGACTGGAGGCTAAAACATATAAGGAACGGTTGCTGGAATTGGGTATGTCTAGTTTAATGAAGAGAAGGACGAGGGGGGACATGATAGCAGTGTTCCAATATCTCAGGAGCTGCCACAAAGAAGAGGGAGTCAAGCTATTTTCCAAAGCACTTGAAGGCAGGACAAGAAGCGATGGATGGAAACTAACCAAAGAGAGAAACAACCTAGAACTAAGGAGAAACTTCCTGACAGTTAGAACAATTAGCCAGTGGAACAACCTGCCTTCAGAAGTGGTGAATGCTCCAACACTGGAAGTTTTTAAGAAGAAACCATCAGCAGACAGCCATTTGTCTGAAATGGTATAGGGTTACCTGCCTGAGCTGGGGGTTGGACTTGATGACCTCTAAGGTCCCTTCCAACTTTTTTATTATTCTTGTTGTTGTTGTTATTATTTATCCTTCTTATTATCTTCTTTACTTCCCCATTTTATTGGTGGTATTATTATTATCGATCATCGCACAGTCAGCCAGATGTTCAGACTGGATTTGGCATTTTGTCTACCTATCGAGTCCTTACCCAGGACCTGGGATAGGCAGATGTGGATGTTTGATGGTATTACAGGTATCGTCGCAGGATGGAAGCAGTTCCTAATAAGGCCGCCTTTTGCAATTGACTAATAGCAATTTGTCAATGCCAATGGTGTTCAAGTGGTGCTCCAGTTGTTTTGGGATTGCACCCAAGGAGCCTATGACTATTGGTACTACCCTTGCTTGCTTTTGCCACAGTCTTTCTATTTCTATTTGTAGGTCTTTGTATTTTGTTATCTTCTCCAGTTCTTTCTCGTCTATTCTGCTGTCTCCAGGCACTGCCACGTCCACTATCCAGACTTTTTTGTCTTTCTTATCGACAATTGTTAAGTCTGGGGTGTTATGTTGCAGGTGCTTGTCTGTTTGAATTCTGA